ACTACAGTCTATCGGGGAAAATGAGTATGGTAAAACCGGTCACTCAAAGTTTTTTTTACTTTTTTGAGGAACTTTATAATCATTTTGAAGCACAATTTTTTTAGGGCTTCAATATTACACCATATCACAAACACTGATAACATGTAGGGCCATGCATCTCAGATTTAACATTGTTATACGATGCCTTTAATTCAAGATGCTCATTTGTTATGACGACCTGGTCACGACCAATGAGCTTCTCCTACTACATCCCAACCAGTCGGCTGTTTAAGGTCAAGGACAGAGCCCTAGGAAATGGGGAATGTCTAGAGTGTTGGCATGGATCTTCAAGAGCGGTATAGGAGAATGTACATGTTGTAAATACCCTACATACTTGGTGTAGTACTGCTCGTACACTGGCAGTGCTGGTCATAAACTCATAGGCCTAGCATAGATTTGTTGTCCCGTAAGAAATAGAAATTAGAATGAAAAACAGAGTATGGCAAGGGGGTCAGACCGGTCAGTGTACATCAGAAATGCATGACATCTTGTTTTTACAGTCAGGTACACAGTGCTGCAGTACAAAACAAATACACAGGAGTGCATGGGGAGGCATTTCAATGGTGAAAGCTTCAGAAAATGAAATGAGAGGTGTATAGAGTACCAAAGTGTGGAGTCATACCTGGTCATACTGAAAGAGAGCAACAGAGAGAGGATAGATAAGGGAGATGGGAGGGATTACATGAGAGAGTCTCGCATTGTTTTTTAATCAGATGTAAGGTGGCAGCATTATGAAAAGCAACATTAGACTCGGAGTCTATTGATATGCATGCAGTTATCCTTGCAGTTGGACTGACGTACTGTATGTACGTATTTATGTAAATGAATTCATGTAGTCATCATCTATTGCGCTCATAATGATTCCTAAGCCCTGAGGTTTACCTGGAATGTGTAAATTGATATTGATTTTTGACTTCAGTCTGTATGCTGCAATGGAAAGCTTTCCTAAAGAGTTGGGGCATTGATGATGCAAATCATTCATTCATTGCAAGAGTCCTGACATTTAGAGATGTGTGTTAAAAGACAAAGAGGAGTGGAAGTAGGTTGGGTAAGATGGACGGCTCTTTTTCTGTCTCATTTTCCTAATTTCTGATGCATGTTTGAGTGTGCTTGATAGTGTATGGAAGACACAGCCGCGTGCAGGTTTTCTTTATAGCTAGGTTCATGAAGATGCTTCATGAATACTACAGAATTTGTGTGGTTATTGTAGGGAAGATAATGTGGTATACATGTATCTTGATGGTGTGAATGTGCTTTCAGTGTGTTATCTTCTAGGAACACAATTTGATTTTCTAGCAGGTTCAGAAGGTGTGTGATGTGATTATGGTGTAGGACATTGTAAGAAAAATATGAATCTGCTCTCTTGAAAGGGAGATTGTAAATGTATTTCTCTTGTTTTTTTGTTTGTTGCTTGTGTATTGTTAAATCGCAGCTCTTCTATCAATCCTGTAATGGGCCTGTAGAGATAAATTGCTTTATGCTCTTGTGTATTTTTCCTCCACTGATTTTAAGAAACTAGATAAGAAGAGTGGAGAGACCATTAGGAACAGCTGTAGAATGTAGGTCAGGTCTGTGACCTTTGCCTTTGTTGACACTCTGTTTTTTTGTTTTGTTTTATTGACACTCTGTTTTGTTCTTCTCTTACCCTTTGGCCGTGTGAGGAAGATACACTGTATTATGGACTATTTATGGTTCCTCTGTAACCTCGTAACATGGACCTACTATGAAGTAGGTCCATGCTCGTAATCAACGGTAGCATATTGCTACAGATTGTTATGTGTATGCCATAGGCATCATGTTTGGAGCAGTCTGCCCTTCATGCTTTCATTTTAACTTGATAATACATTGCATTTGTATGACCATTATGAGATGGACTGTAGTGTTCATGTCCAGAGAGTTGGAACATCATAGGCTCCAAAGATCTTTAAATACACAAAATAGGAATTACAACTACCGTATTTGCCGGCGATAAGGCCGCAGCGCCGTATAGGCCGCACCCCCGATTTTGACATTTAAAAAAATGTTTTGTTGTTGTTGTTGTTTTGCTGCCGAAAACCCACGCGTGGAAGGACCTTCATTAACATCGAGGTGCAGTTAAAGGCGCTGATTTGTGCTTGTAAACTTGTCACAAATAATAGTAACAATGTCGTTTTTAGAAGAATGTGTAAGATCATTAATGTGAATTAAAAACAAAGTACCTATGGTACCAGTGGTGTACCTTGTGGTACACCATTTGTTTTAGAAAAAAATTTGAGGAACTATTATTATAAACTACATATTGAGATCTATTAGAAAGATTACTTTCAAACCAAGATGACAGTCAAATTTTAGTGTTGTTGTAGTTTCCGAGTGGTGAGTCAACACACTGATTACTGAGCTGGGAGACATTGCCAGGCATAGCGCCATAAATCGAAACTAAAAAAAAAACTTTTTTTTACTCTTTCGCCGCATAGGCCGCACCCCGAGTTTTTGATTTTTTCTCTTCCAAAAATACTGCGGCCTATACGCCGGCAAATACGGTAATTATGTATTGTATGGTAAACTGGGTCAAAGGTCACTAAAGTCAACCCCCCCCCCCCCCCCACCCAATGATAGTGATTTTGGGGCATTTGAATTGAGTACATTTATATCCATATGGATTTTATAAAATAGATATGCATGTACCTTGTATCTTCATACATGTACATGTATGTACTCTTTTCATCTTGTCTCCAATTATTGGATCCCCCATTATGATTTTAAATTCTGATTTATCATAAGGTTTTGCAGCGATTCATATTGTACATTGTAGATATCGGCCTATAGATGATGCAAGTACATGTTATGTACGTGCAGAAGATTTCATGCATCGTCATATTTTCTTTGTTGTTCACAAACTGGAAGGAACTTGAATCCGTCTAAACCTCTGGAATTTACAAACATTTAAGTTGCTCAGCAAACCTCCTCATAACATCACAAAATGACTCATCAACTTCCAATGTAAATGATATTAGTAAGTCAGTGTTTGGACCCTAGGTGTGTATAGGCCTAATATCAATATTACAATTTGTCCTGAAATAGTGCTTTGTCATGGTCAAGATAAAATTGTTATGAAACCAGGATGTACGTGTAAGTCATTTTATTACAGATATTAAAAGGGCAGAAGTTGAACATCTTTGTCTGACTCTATCTCTTTGTTCAAATCTCCCAAGGCTTGTTACAATGGATCTACAGGTTCCACGTGGACGAAACAAGTCTGCCCTTCGACCTTACGACATTGTAAATTTCCTGTTCGCTTTGGGCAAGAGGGAGATATTGCTTAATAAAGCTCAGTCGCAATCTTGAGTGTAATAATACTGGTACATGACTGTATGTGCATGGTATTACCATAAAAGGGCATAACCCTTTAGGTTACTCTGTTCTGACACTCGTATGTATTGGAAGGCCTCGACGTTCAAAAATATATATCTCTATTTCATTAATGAGGAAGATTTTCCTTATTTTGTATATTATTTTGTATATTATTTGTTACAAAATCTGTAGCATACAACCAAACTTCCTTTTCTGATGATATGTTGAATTATAAAATGTGATCAATAGGATACATTCAATTTAATTCAATTTATATTTAGTTCATTTCCAACAGAAAGATAAACAAAGGCATTACAGAAATTATTACAGAAAGTATGAACAAATATATGTACATATTCGTTTTTATCTTGAGAAGTATACAAATACACTGTACACATAAATAAATTATTAATAGAAATTATTAAAAGAAATTATCAATTTCTGAGAAAATGAGGGGATCTGCTAAAAGCAATGCTTGTAAGTTTGTGGATCCCCCAGAAAAAATAGAATTGTTTCAAATTGAATACCTTCAGTCATTTTATGGAAGAAAGGAAGCCCTGATTGTTTTGGCATTGTAAACACAAGATGTTGAGAAGGGCAAAAAAATATATTGTGTGACATAACAGCATACGTTTCAGTTGACAGATTCCATTTCATTATTTGTCCATGAAATAATGTGATGTCATTGATATGTCTTGCCCCAATTACAATAAAAATATGTAAACATACGTTATATGTTTAGGTAACTGTGGTGCAGTAGTTGTCATGAACACAGTCAGACGATAACAATCAATCATTACATCCACAAATAAAGACCTCAGTATGTTATTGAGTGCCTCCTAAACACAGACCCCTCTAACAACCCAAATACATGTGTAGGCAGACTCTGCGTTCCTATCGACGACGTGTTTAACGGTTTATGCGTCACTCAAGTACATGTTCGTTTGCTTGCACATGAGGGATAACTAATTGTAGTCACACGGTCGGTCTATGCAGGGGAAGCTTTTAAAGGAACTGTAAATGTGTATGGTAATTGAGAAGAATGTCAGCCAGACACGTACTAAATCCAGATGGTATAGTGACATTTGGTTGACCTCCTAAGGTTAAGGATTTGTCTCAAGCATAGAAGATTTTGACTCAAAAAAATGGATTGCAAAAAATGTTCTTATTTTGTTATTGTTTGATAGTGACGACATGAACAAGAATGGAAAGTGCTTCTTTGTTCTTTGAATGAATCTTGAATTGTTTAGTGTAACTGTGTATCCCAAATCTCATTGAATCTCATTCAAGGTCATTCTTTTGAAAACAACAATATCGCAGAGTGATTTAGACATGGCCAAAAAGACAAAACAAACATGCTTTATTGTATGCCTCTGCACTCATTTTAGAAAGAATTTTCGAATCTGTGTGGACATTATAAAAAGTGTTGCAAAAATGGGAGATCTCAGTATTTGCCTTAAAAGCCTCTACCGTTTCCCCTCATTTATTGCACTTCTGCAGAAGATGAGATACAATGGAAGGCATTCAATGAGGGCGAAATATACATGTACATGTACTATCTATTCCCTTGTTGGTATTTTATGTTAAAAATAACCATATTTCTTTCTATCTTTTCATCTTGTTTATTGCAGATATATGGGCATAGGACTATCTACTGAGGAGTTTGGAAATAATATGAGCAAATTACCAGGTATGCTATCTAATGATCAATCAATTCAACCATGACTTTTTTTTCAGACATGCAGTGTCGTATTACATAGTGCTCTTGATTCATGTAGAAAAGGAATGGGAGCTAAGTGATTGTCAAGCGTACATGCATATTGGTAGCAATGTCACGAGCAACTAATTGATTTTTATGATATCTAAGAGTGACTCAGCAAAATTTTGCACATCAGGGTATCATTGAAAGGAAAGGAAATATAACAATTGGATTGAAATAATGACACAAAGTTTCCATGGAGATAAATCTGAAACTTACATCATTATAGGCATGGGCATTATTATTCATAATTATAAGCCAATGTTGGATTTTAGTGAAGTTGGATTAAAATGGAAATATATGAGAAATATAAATAGAGAGAACAGAGTTAATGATATGGTAGTAAGCCCAAGGCTGAAGATAGAACCTAATTTTTCTTTTTATTTCCTCTATCCCAGTGTACAATTTGGATCATTTTATTTCAGAAATCGTAACTATTATTAGTCAGACACAATGATTGTTTATTTTTGATGAAAAATAGTCTAAATTGAATCAAAATTCATAGATTTTGTTCAGAGGTTTTATTCAACTACATTTCAAAATAACTAACATGCATGTATGATTTCTAACCCCCCCCCCCTCCTTCTGTTCTACTTGATTTTCTTTCAGGCTGGGACAAGCACTCTTATGGTTACCACGGCGACAACGGACATACATTCAACTCTGCAGGGAACGGCCAGCCTTACGGTCCAACGTTTACAACAGGTGACGTTGTAGGATGCGGGGTGAATCTGGTTGACAACACATGTTTTTACACTAAGAACGGTGTTCATCTAGGTGAGGAAACAAGTATTTCAAAGTGAACAATTAAATAACTGCATTGGTTGCAGCTTGTGAAGTACTGTTAGATAGGAATAAAAGGAAACAATTATGAACCAATTCGAAGGGGTGTATAAGCTGTGGAAAGCTTTGTTATTAATTTAGCTGGATTGCCTTAGAATAGGATTAATATGGAGTCATAGAGAAGCCTGATAAAGTATAGTAAATTGCACTTCTGTTATTCTGAATGTCAATCTAGTCTGCTTTCGCAGAGTGCATTTATTATGATTCGTGTAAAAGTGAAGTGAGGAGAAGTGCAAGTCCTATTTAATGAGGCTTCATTTCCTTTCATTTCCTTTACTTGATGACAAACAAGCCAGTAAACTGCAATCTAAACCAACCAAGCTAAACAGGATACTATAAAGTTGATGTGTACACATTATTACCCAAACGTATCATTATATCCTTGCGTGTCAACATACCGTTACACTATTCCTTCACATAAAACCCAAGTGTAATGACCGCGAGATATTTAGATGTGCAATGTCACGGTTATATCAAGATTGTAGAGTCCCCTAGTGACAGACTGTGTAGAAGACCCCTTTCATACACAGGTAATAAAGTAGATCAAAACTACATTGATCCAGGGTGTGTTCAGTAGCTTTGTATATGGACATTAGACTGTGTGTCTTGATGTAGATCAGTGTAATATAGCAGACTAATATGAGACTTTTGGGCTACATTTAAGCAAAGCACTCTCAATCCATCGAAAAGACCCTAGTGTAATGACCCGAGGTGTTTAGACGTGCAATGTCACGGGTTAAATCAAGATTGTAGGGTCCCATGGTGAAAGCTAGTAGATAAGGCCCATTTCATACAAGGGTAATTCTAGATTGATTTGTGGTAATATTTGGTCCGTTATGCCAGGTTAATGTACATCAGAATCAGATTGTGTACATGTATAGATTAAGATCAATTCATGGTGTCGGTCTGCTGACATGCATGTAGCATACGCTGCATTGGCGTGACATCGCAAATCCATCTAGATTGGTCCTGTCTGCGCAATGTGCGGAAAACAAGTCATTGAGATGTTTAGTCCTAATACACATGTACTTCATGTTCAAGGAGTGGACACATACACCAAGTCGATGAGCGGGGAAATTTGGAGTGTCGAGGGGATTCCCCAAACATGTACATAAAATATGTTGATTTCATCAGCTTAATTCTACGTAGTAACATGTATGTAGTTATATGACTTTCCACATAGATATAGGGAGGTTTTGGGATACTGCCAAGTTGGAAGCTGCTGGCACTTATTATTTTTCATGTAGAATGATTGAAGCTGTTATTTCATCAAAATACATTCATTTCAGGATTCAAGATTGTTGAAAAACATGTTGTTTGTTGGCTATTTGACATTGGAATTGTATATAAATGTAGAGATTTTCAACAGGAAATAATGAATGAAATACATGAATGGTAAAGTGCAAATGTTTTACATGTAGCTCTCATACCAAATGAGGCACTTATTCCATTACCATATTGTATGTTTTTACTAAAATCAGTGAATTTGGGTAAATGAAAATGAGTTTGCTTTCAATTAATTTATAAAATTGTTGCAATGTTCACACTGTCATTACAAATACATCTTAAATAGATTATAATGTGACGGCACATGCCCCATGAGTCTCTGTGATGATTGCATTTTCATCTTGGTGTAAAAACTCTTTGCTTTATATTCTTTTATCTTCTTTAATATTTACATGAACTCTTTGCTTTATCTTTGTATCTTTCTACAGGTATTGCATTCACAGATCTGCCTGTAAGTATTATCTTCCCCTCTCATTTGCATGATTGTGGATTTATTTGATATCCTTGTAGCCTTCACCTTTAAAGAAGAGACAAATTGGATTAAACCCCCCCCCAAAAAAAAAAAATCACGTTATAATATGAATGACTGTATTTACTGTATTTACAGAAAGTGACAATATTGAAACTGTCATGATAGATCTACAATGATTGTTCAAATGAAGTAGTAAAGACTACAGAACAATGTGATCTTTCTTTAACTAGATAGATGCTTGAGGTAGTGCCTCAAGCAAAGCCATTTTGTTCTGCACACCTTCATGATCTATAGCTGCTATTTTTTTATTTCATTTCAAAGCAGTATCATTTCAGAAAAATCTAATACAGATAAATTAAGTTTAGATAACACCTCATTGCTCAATAATGTGATGTAATAGTGTCATGATTCATGAATAAACCATTGGGTATTAAATAAACGTGCAACAATGCTGAGGACAGCTGTTGTTATGGTTCATGGTTGGACTGGCCCTGTACTTTGGCCCACTAGTAGTACGTCAACTGTTGAAAAAAGCTCGCTAGAATTTAAGTTAGGAAGAGTTTGATGTGAGTCATCGCACTGGGTATCTCGCTCTTTCCTACCCGATTCAATTTCCCCTGAGGAAGCCCATGTCAGTAAACCCTCATGATGTTGATTGTGTTTGGGGAGGACGGTATGGGGGGAAGGCTGTGTAGGGGAGGGCTGTTTGGGGTGAGGAGCAGCGCTGTTGCACCCATCTTCCTGCAGGTGTGTTCATAGGTCAAACTAAACGAGAAGTGAAGGTTCTCCCTCCCCACTGGCTTGAGTCTGCCTGAAGTGAACCCGATTGTATTGGTTCAGTGACCTACAGATGAGATTTGTAAACAAACATTGTGCCTAGCAGGTGAAGAAGATATCTTACATTCGATTTGATGGAAAGTTGGCTATGCTGAGGCTTTAGCCATATGATTCGCAGGCTTACATTACATTGCTGTGGATTTTACTCTATGATGCAGGACCTTTATGTTTTCATGTGAATTTTCATGCAAGATCAGGAGTCGCCCCCGCTTAAAGCGGTGCACGGGAGGGACAAAAGGTAAAGCATATGGTGCAGGGATTCCTAAAAACATGGGCATCGAAGTAATCAATATTGAAAGGTCTGGAACACAAGCAAGGACATGTTGCTACATGCAGAAGAGAGGGAGTGAGAGTGACAAAGGGTTTGAAATGTGATTTTAAGCCTCCATCAAACCTTTCAGCCATAGACAGTTCATTGACCCCTAGAATCCAGTGACTCTGTGGTAACAGCTTTTTGGAAAGAAAAAAAGTACTTGTCTCCAAAAGCAATGCATTCTCAAATTCTACAAACAGTTGTAACATAGATTTTCTATTACGTGACGAATGAAGGGGTGGTAAAAGGGAAAGCATAGAATACTGGCAACAATAATATGATAGGATAAGGGTTAATAACTAGCGGCTACACCTAGCTGCTTCTGTTGTGGCGTGTTACAGATTCTACATGTAGGATAGACCTTGAGCATGTTGGATTATGGGTGACTTAGATCACACCCTGTTCTTTCTAGGAATAACCATACAACTCAATAGGTACCAGTAGGGGATGTGGTTGTGATTAATAAACAAACATTATTATTTTTTGAGTACTTGATATTATGGTTGTATCTTTAGATGTCATCGATTAATTGAAAAACCTGGGCATTTTTAGATCCTTACTTGTTATATTAAAGGGATTCAAAAGGAATACTAGATTTCAGAATGATAAACAGTTATGCCCCAAAAAGTTTATTTCTTGAACTGATTAAAGGATTAAATGTAAAGCAACATTTCATATCAAGATGTATATTACAAGAAATAGGCACCCTCATGTAAAGATAGTCTCAACAAAGGTCATGCGCGTATTCACTTAAATGGGAAAGATATAAGATAGGAAATGTGAAGTGTATGATACTTTACACAGCGTTTGCCACCTCATATATGGACAAGGCTAAATGAACAAACAATATCTTTATAATATCAATTTTCTTATGATCATTTCATGGCTGGCCCCAATCAATTAATTCATTAGGTTACAGAGTTTAAAACTTGTGTCATATAAATACTGGCACTTTCCTCTCCATCAAGTCAAGTCTGTCTTCATGAATACGAGCCATTGCTCGAAACTACCCTCATTTAATTTATGGACCAAGCTCGCACGGAAGCTTAGCCTTGGAAGATATATTGTTGTGGTATTGTGCTAAGTAAATTTATTCTCTGTTATCCAATATAAAGATACTGACATGATATGATATATCACGTTGGATGAAGCCATGTAATGCTGTAACATAACTCACAGCTTGTCTAGCCATGGTAGACATTCTCTCATACTACATCACACTCCAGCCTCAGCTAAACCCAATGTTTATTTAATAATTTCACCCAAATAAGTGAATCCCGTGAGATAACTGATCAGGAATAGCCAGAATATTAATTTATAAGACAAGGAAACAAATGGAAAGATATCCAAAATATTTATCTTAAAGATGAAGTTGAGTTCTGGTCATGCGATTGCATTGTGAAAGAAACGGTGTGGAATCGACCAGAAAAGGTTGATCATCTAGCATGTATGAATTTGTGTGTATTGCAAGGTTCTGGAATCATCAAAATGATCAGAAATTTGGCCAAGTCTTGGTAAAGTTACAAACACTGTACACAGAAAGATGTGTATGGGACTACCCGAACACGTGGCGTAAAAATCCTACCCCCCCCCCCCCGAGTTTTACGATGTTACATGACATATTTAGAATATAAAGGCATTTGAAGAGCCATGCTTTTCAGGGAACATATCTTATCTGATGTTCTTCCACACTTGCATAATAAGAATGATAAATGCTCACAAATTATTTTTCACCTCTTCCCAGAACTCAACCTTCTCTTTAAACATTTTCCATCAAAAGTAGGTTGTACATGGGAAGAGTAATGCAATATTTCTGTCAACATGCTTAAAAAAACTCGATTTATTTCTGCAAGGTTCACTGTTGATCTGATAGTCTCCTCTGAATGATTAAGCTTTTTTTGTAATTGTTTGGACAACATTGTATAAAGCAATCGCAGTGTCTAAACTGTTCCTTGGGGTATTACCCTTCAATCTTAGCTGCAAATTGAACTTGCCTTTATGGATCAAATGAACATGGACAAGCAGCTGAAATGCAGGCTAGGAGGGGCCTTGTTGACAATATTTTCGGGGGAGCAATGTTAGATGAGTGAGGTAGGGCTCAGCAGGTAATATATCCTAATACATCATGTCTGATTAAAGGGGGAATGGTTTATGACTGGTTTACGACCTCATCACAGTGACCAGATACCATGTATACAACACGCCTGTTCTTTTTGTTTTGTTTCTTTACTTTGTTTGTGTCCTGTCACAAGAAGTCATTTTAAGTTACAGTTTGCCGACATCAAATTAAAGAGCATGCTAGAAATGAATAAATCTTTCAATGCCTAGGATATTTAGAAAGTTAGACTTATGAAAGTCTCTTGATGGTTTCTTGCAATAGCCCCTACATCTCTTAGAAAATAAAAATAGTGACTTTCTTGCTTCAAAATTTTTAACATTTTGACTTTTGGAGGCTTGAAAATCTTGAGTGGCAAGTGTTCTTCTAGATTGTTTTCATGATGTCATGGCAACTAAGAGTATTAGTTGTTGTATCCATCCATGTAAAGATTATTTGAAATTACCCCGAAATTACTGTGTGACCTCCCTTTAGTGGTACTACTCCTTATTCATTGTTTGAAAGTACACATGAGGTTGCATGTTGTATTCAAAATAATCTTACTGCAATTGATTTTCACACAGATGAAGAGCATCATATTACATGTTTATTTATTTATTTATTTATTTGATATCAATTTGGACTTTTGCCAAATTATACATGTTCTTATGTTATGATATTTGATACAGTATATCTTGCCAGAATGACAATAACACATATCAACAAATAATTCCTATGTACGATAAAATATGTGGTGTAAATTTCAACAGACATTCTATTCTATGCTATTTTCTAATTTGCATTTTAATTTGTCCATGGCCTGTGAAGACGCTCAAGATATTTTGATTTTAATCAATATGTGTAGGTCTGTTAAGTGGAAATTGAAAACAACGTTTAGAAAGTGAAAGTTGCCAATCCCTCATTCTGGGGAAGTTGTACTTAAAGTTAGTTTATATTGAATTACTTTCAAAACATCAACACATCACTATTTCAACACTGCTCTTGTTTTGTGTTATGTTTGAAATGTGAAACAGTGTTTGGATAACATTGTGAGCAGTGACCAGATAAATGTTGTTGTGTGCCAATTATGATAATTGTTTTACATAGCCACTTGAAAAGACATAGTGATCACATCATGATCATTAATCAGCAACTTACCCGTATTTGACAAATTCTTGAGTTGTGGTTTGGCACTATAAATTATGATTCATGGTCCTAAAAGGGGTTAATACCCAAGCAAAATGAACAATTTCTTCATGACTGATGTGTATTTTAGTTGCATCACCAAAACTCTTTTGATGGTAGAGATGTTTTGAATGAAAAGAAACTTAGAAAATTCTACAATTGACAGCACATTGAAACACCCAAGATAATTATTTTTCAATTGGAATTGACTTTTTTTAATTTTTTTTTACTGTTAAATACATTTTTTCTTTGTGCATTTTCAGTTTTGTTACATGACTTAATAAAAGGTAAAGCAATGAAAAAATTATAATGTTGACAGGTTGAAACAGTGAAGATGATTAATTGAGCAATTTAAAAAAAAAAACCTGTCGTTGACGAGCTAATGACCAATTGATCACTTCGATGACACTGGACAGTTGGGCAGGGCCAACATACAAATTTTCCATTTTCAAGGGCTACTTTAAAGAAAAAACATGACTTTGTTGGATTGAGATATTTTGGGCATTTAATAACAGAAATAATATTTAGAGGGTAGAGGTTCTTCACAAAGAAAATAATGGGGGCTTGGTATAAAGTTTTAGGTATAAATTGCCCCCCCCCCCAACCAATATTTGTCCTTACTGGCAGGTGGTTCTTTAAAAGAAGGAAAACAACATTAGTGTCAAAAAGCTGACACTCTGAATTATAAGTAGTTTAGGGAAACTTTAATTTATTCTAGCAGTACGTGGCATTGTATGTTACCCTCTAAGTGACTCATACGCACACAGCTGACTGTGTTAGTAGTTATAGTCTTCAAGGCACACTAACTCTATCCATTCTGTACTAGCAGTAGCCAATTAAGGCAGGGGGTAGAATAGCATTCGTGACTTGCTCTCTCTCGGTAGCTTTGACCAAGTGTACATCCTTGCATCACCTTAGTCACTTTCAGTGTGATCATTGCCAAGTGTATGTGTCTTTTTGGATTGTGAACGGGCTGGGGGTGTATGTGCAGAGAACATAAATGAGGCAGTTCTATTGTTAACTTGCACTGGTAACAATGCAGGCATGGCTGACTACAATGGAAAGGTTTGTGAATAATATTGGTACATTGTAGCCTTTCTGTGGCAGTTTCTCAAGGCATGCATATGGATTTCACCATGAATTCATGCTACATGTGAACTAAAATCATGTGTTTGTGTGTGTGAGAATGCTTGTACACATATATGCAAGATTTTACCTCACAAACCTCAACCATATTTTCCCCCAAGAGTGAACTTGCCAGATATTCAAAGGCCTAAAGGTTCTACTTTATATGTTTCCGCGGCAAAATCACCCAGATCTACTGTTTACCGTATTTTAATATTGTGTCCTCATTTACTTAACTTATTCTTTGTAGATCTGCCTAATTCTAACATTTGTGTATAAATGTTTTTTTCTTCTTTCCAGGGCAATCTCTATCCGACTGTAGGTCTCCAGACACCTGGTGAAATCGTTGATACAAACTTTGGTCAGAGTCCCTTTGTGTTCAATATAGAAGACCTCATGCAGGTTAGTCAATTGTATAATTCTCTGTAGGCCTGTTTTCATCAGCTCGAGTTTGCCAAATAACCTGCTATTTTAATTATCCTGATCGCAAATTAGCCAGTTAATTTGCGTCTTTATCAGCCCGTAGTTGCAATTAGCGGGATATTTAGTCGAGAAAATATCTTGAGAAATCTTGTTCTTGTTTCCAAAATATCCTGCTTTTGGGGAAATAGCGGGCTAATTTTGCACCCATCAGAGCTAGTTTGTGATGAGCGTATCGGTCTGGTGAAGACGCAATTTCAAGCTTCGGGATAATATCCAGAGACTGAAAATAGCGGGTTATTTGGCAAACTCAAGCTGATGAAGACGAGCCTTATTTCAATACTATAGACTGGTGTGAATGTTTACATGAAGGGCAATCTAGTTCTTTTGTATTTTGTGGTAAAGTTAATGGAAAGTGTGGTTTAGATCTTGATCCTGGATTTTTTTTTTTAATTAAAAAAAATGAAATAATAATAATAATAATAATAATAATATTGACATTTATATAGCCCGGTATCCATTATCAGTTACATATTGTGAAATTGCTGTAGATCAGAGCCCAGTTTGAATAAATTTGAATAAATATTTAGTAATACATGTAACATGAAACAAAACGCTCAATTAAGCAAGTTTATTGATAAAGTCAAATAGAGCATTGAATGAAACCCTGTTTTTCACCTTTGAGAATGAAATGCCAAGATGAAAATGCTGAAATGGAATATTCATTTTAACACAACTTGGTGATTTTTTTCAAATTAAACACTCCCTCCAATCCCCCCCCCCCCCCAAAAAAAAAAACCATGACCTATTGATCAAAATGAAAATATTATTTGATAGTTCTAATTTTGAAATCCTTTCTTGATTTAGGAAATGAGGATGAAGACAAAGATGACGATAAAGAATTATCCAGTACCAAACGACCAGGGAGAATGGCAATCAGTGCTACACAGGTATGTACAATATCTCTTCTGCAAAACACATTGCAGGGTATTTGAGGAACATTGTTTCTTCTGTAGAAGTCATTTGCATCAATAGTATCATCATGGTCATGAGGCGTTCGGGAAGACAACAATTAGTCAGCACATGAGGATAAAGCTGTCACTCGACTTTAAGGTTCTTTCGGTTTGGTGGTTAGTCAGGAACAATGACATTGTTTTTCTTTAGATTAGCCATTAATGATAGGTTGTTAATCCACTAGGAAAGCTGGAACAGTCTAAAAAGACAATTTGGAAAAGCCAGAGTAATCTTTTAAAGAGACAAACCTGAGAAATCTTTTATTTTATCAAATTGAATGTTACGTTACAGAGTTGATATTGTAATTATACAAGTTGGATTATGAGGACATTAGTCATTTACATGCAGATAAAGTTTGATTGAAAAGTCCATGATAATTCTTTGATCATGCATGTCCTTTCTTTAATGTATTCCTCTCTTTTAGAATTGTGTCAACATATCTAGTTCACCATGGTTACAGTCAAACGGCAGAGAGCTTTGCTCGGAGTACAGGACAGACAATAGCTGAAGATGTCATGTCAATTAAAAACAGACAAAGTGAGTTCCATTTCCTTAATACGTCATCTGCTAATCCTCTTGTCAATGTTGTTACTTGTAAATATATGTTTAGTGGCTAAATATAGTGACAACTGAAAATTACCCTTCAGATTTAAAACAACAGCAAACGAACAAGAAAACACAAAAACGTAACAGCAACTAATCTTGTTAGAGCATGAAAATATCCTGTATAATCATATATTCATATTGTATCATTCCTTAGCAAAGCTTTTGGATATTTTCAAGATCGACTTTATGTTATACTTATGTATACCAAGGAAATAGATAAATAAATGAATGAATATATAAATAAATAAAATGGACAGACTGACAGACCTAGAAACAATAAATGAATAACTAATAAATGTACGGTGAATGAAATAGCGTTTGCTGTAAACTGTCATGCGTCAATATTTCAGTACTTGACATTTTGTACTGTACTCTGATACTGGATGAATTTGTTTAATTGCCACTTGAATTCATATGCTGGTAGGTGTGTTCTCACTCTCATTAGACAGTATGTCTCACTCTCATGTACAATACATATAAACATTGTTATCATTGGCTGGTTGTCCTCTGGGAGTATAACAATACTCACTTTCTATCCAAACAGTGATTCCAACTGATTACCTGTGATGCAATTAGAATGGGGTGTGGGTTTTTATTGTCAGGTTGCCATGGTAATCAATCAAGTTCGCTTACATTCCCCCTGAAACCTTGTGTGTAATTTATTGCATGATTAGAGAACATATTGTAATGGTTAAACACAATCGTCTTGAAGTTTGTATGGAAATTACGTGCAGTGGCAATGCATGTAATATTTGTGTATTATTTAGATTTCATGGAAACATTGTTGTGAGATAAACAGATCTGATTAAGAAAGTAATTCCCTTTGTGTAAATCCAACCACCGGTAGTATTTTATGCAATCCAGGAACTCAGGTAGATTTTTATTAGTGAAGAATTTTACATGAACTGCAAATTATGACTTTTGAAGACCTGAAATTAATGCATGAGGTTTTTTTTATGAGTTAAGAAGCCCTACATATAAAACCAAGATGCTGCAGGTTATTCTTTCATGTATATGCAGTTACATATATTCCTGAAATAAATGGAAAATTTAAATAGAAAATTTAATTTTGTTTCCCTTTGACCGTTCCTAGTCATGAGCTTTATATATAAACAATATAAGCCAGACAGTTTAACAGAAATGTGTTGAGGATGATAATTCTATACATTTGTTTCTTGCAATAGTGTTATTCCAACTTGAAGATCTCCAATCCCGTAACTAATCCCTTCATTTCCATGGTGATATTTAACGACCCAGATGGCAACATTGAATTGAAACTTTCGAAAATGTGATAGAGAAACATGTATTTGTGTATTTTGCTATAATGATACAATCTTCTTTCTTTTATTTTGCAGAACTTCAAAGACTAGTATTAGCAGGGTGTATGGGTGAAGCAATAGCAACGACACAGAGACTCTATCCTAGTTTACTACAACAGAATCCCAATCTAGAATTCATGCTCAAATGCCGCCAGTTTGTGGAGATAGTGAGTGGGACAGAGAGCGAGATACGGCCTCCCCGCAGCGAGCCACGTAGCTCACGTTCGTCACGGTCCAGCAGTAGACACGCAAGTCCAGCCATGAGCCCTCATCGTGATACCACTGCACCCTCCTCCTCCTCCTCGTCGTCCGCGCATCTCAGTATATCATCACCATTGGCAACAGACCCTCTTCAAATGCATCATTCAGGAATACCAGGAGGTAGCAGTAGTAGTAGCAGTAGCAGCAGCGGCAGGCACGGGAGTAGTCTGCTCAACACTTCCAAACCCATATCACCAAAGAGTCCTAAGAACTTACAGCAGCAGCAACAACAACAACAGCAGCAGCAACAACAACAGCAACATCAGCAACAACAGCAGCAACAACAGCAGCAACAGCAACAACAGCAAGAAGGACTACCCACAAACTCTGCAATGACCTCAACCATGAATGCCCTCAACCTCACTACAAACGGTAGTGTCATGAACGGTTCCTCCTCAAGGATAATAAACCAAGAGTTGGATATAGACATGGACGTAGACTCTCATGAATCCACCAATGGTGTTCATACGAATGGAAACAGTAGCAATGGACATGCTGTGACAAACGGCAAGGCGTTGTCTTCGTCAGTCAATGGTGTGTGCCCGCCTGCAGAAGATATGGAAACAGATGATCTAGGTGAGTTGGTTTTGCTTCTCGTACAAAATGCTATACTGTAAACCAGAAGCTTTCGTGTTCCTGAAATGTTCCTGGATTTTGTGAGTGGTTAAGATTTAAGAAAGTTTCATGCTGCTAAATGACACAACGCTGAATTTTAGCAATTTGCAGAAGTTTCATGCCTTGAAAATTGCTGTCATTTTAAATCAGTACAATGTCATGTTGTGAAAGTTTCTTATTTTACAGTCCGACAACCACTGGTGTTTGATCATGGCCAAATCATTTTCGTAGGGGTCAGATATTAGAGGTTGGTTCATTTTCCTATGGCGTTTGTAAGGGACTAGTGGAAAAGTCACTTGGCCTTTGAGCAAATGGTATTTCCTTCACAGGCCCTTTGTCAAGACATTAATCAACATTTGCAATTCTATTCAGCTATTCTGAACATTGCAGAAATCCATTATGATTGCCTTTGTCATTGCCCTGCATACTAGGATGGAAATTTTCATGGGACGGTGCACACTTATGTACAGGCTTGAAATCCAGCCATCCAGGGCTCAAAATACAAATAACATTCACAAAGCACATTCATGTTATGCATTTTCTAAATGGAAAGTACTTTTATCATCTTTCATGTACAGAAGGAACATCGTTACCACCCGTCCGTCAACTCTGTGGAGGTAGTTATTCAGCAATTGAACATATGCTCAAATTTGGTCGGGAACTACAGTGCTTCTACGACAAAATCACCAGGGACAACGGCAAGAATGAAACCAATGCCAACGCATTACGGGTAAGAATAGATCAGTCCTGTGTAGAAAGATCAAAGCCTGATAGTTTACTTCTATTATCATTAGCTCCCGCTGTACCTCACCACACCCCTTTAAAGCCTATCTGCACTAGTTTGGCCAGGAGGGATTAGACCTCCCTGCATGGTCTCTGGCATAAGAAACATAAGAAAAAGGGGACCATGGGGGATCAACAGGTACTGCTTCGGCATTGTTGACTATATAGAGGGCGCAAGTAGCTACAAGTAGTGCAGTCCTGCTTCAACACAATATAAGGATGATGATATGAAAATGGATTTTTAATGAATGTAAGATTCTTAGTTTCTTAATTTGTACTTCATGAACTTATTTAACCAGCACTGAGATGACTGTCTACCCCAACCTAACAAATATATTGATTTCTCCAAAAAATCATGTTGTATTTTCTAAACGTTAACTTTTATTTTGATATTTGTTTGTTGCTTACAGGAGGCATTTAGTTTGTTAGCCTATGCAGACCCATGGAATAGTGAAAAAGGGTACCAGCTCGATCCCTTATTACGAGAACCAGTCTGTGCCGCATTAAATAGTGCCATATTAGGTGAGTATCCATCTTGTATACATGTGTACTGTAGTATTGAAACAAATTCTAAATTAATGACACCTGTTCATTATTTCCTCAGTGAAACCATGTAGAAGAAAAGTTTATACACTTCTTATAGGCAGTAATATTACCATGAAAATGAAACAGCCTATGTGATACATATCACTGTTTCATGAAATTATGCAAAATTTTAAAATTCAATAACTTTTATATATTTCATCCAATTTTGATGGAACTTTCACTGTTTTGTCTGTTTCATTTTTCTCTATTTATGTAATTCAACTTGAAAATATACAGAACTTGCCCTTTGATATTATAGATGATCAGACCTTCTTTGCTTGAAATATGTCACCTGTAGATAATGAAGCCTTTCAACATGTATCTCAGGAATGAATGATTATACTGCAAAGATTTAAAAATGTTTTGATATCATCTTCTGAAGAAGAAAAAAAAATCCTCACGCTTGAATTGCAGTTTATTATGTGTATATAAAGATTGGCTGAGCAAAATTAATTGTTTTTAATCTATAGAGAAGTGGAAGAATAAAATATGGGACAATTTTTTGACATATTTAAACAACTCCAGTGGACCAATGCCCAGAGACATTGTTAATATTTTCTGGAAAGTGATGTGGAAGTTTTAGCAGATACAAACATTAATTTTTTTCTGTAATAATTATGAACATTGCCAACTCCTGTTGTGTCTACCACTCAGCTGAAACATGTACATATCTTGTCTTTCTCTGTTCACAGAATCGCAGAACATGCCCAAGCACCCGCCTCTGGAGCTTGCCCTATGCCATGTGAAGGAGACCATCAAACTCATGTCCAAGTATGGAGCAGGGTTCTGGGGTCCTGTGCTTCCTCAGGAGTAGACCATTAACACCAACTAATGCTGGCCTTCCTTCCCTCCCATCCCTCCCCCTCCTCCTCCTCCTCGTCCCCTTCCTCCCACCTCTTCCCTTCCCTGAGTTTGTCTTAAACTGAGCGTTTAAATGTATAATCTTCTGTTTTTTTTAGAAAACTAGAAGGAACCCAAGCTCTTGCAGTCCCTGCCTCCATGCTCACCCCAGTGTATTGTTGTACGCAGTAGTCCCACTTGAATTATTATTCATCCAAGAATTCAGATCAAATTTTCATTGATATCTTGAGAGCCGGACTCTGCAATTTGTTTGGAATCATGATTGTTAAATATGTGAAACCTTCTTACCCTATGAAATTTATTTGATTGATTAAAAAAAACTTATTGTTAATATATGAGGTCAACCTAATATTCTTTAAAAAATATTATACTGCAGCTTTTCAAATACATGGTTTTTAATCTCCTCAAATTACCTCTACTTTCCCTGACATGATTTCATTATATTTCATATTAGCCCAATTCCTAGTTATATTATATGCCTTGGCCGTAAAAAATAACCTGTTCTTTTTACATTCATTCCAGTTAATGTACTTCCATCACATACCCTTGTGTTTTCTTTATTGTTTGGTAAATTACACCTGTTTTGCCCCTGTTTACACAATGCCCCCCCCCCTTCCCTCTCCCTCTGCCTACCGGTATGTCAAACCCCTGTCCCCTCCCTGTCACATACAATTCCACCAACAGTCCTGCCTCATCTCCCCATCCATCCTGAGTGCTGCCTCATTCATGACTCTGTGCAGAGTGACTTAAGATATACTCTTCAATGTAAGATCATTCAATAACACGATAATGCTGCCTCTGTTCACGAAGTACTCTTATGAAGACGATTTACCGGGAGCCGAGATGAACGCATGTAAACGTGTATCTCTCTCTATTCATACCGGACGTGACATTACCTACTGATGTGGTCAAAAGTGAGAGTTTGTGCATTTTAATCAGGACTGGGTGTTCAGTACATGGCTTGTCTCACGAAAGAATGTTTCTCTCCAACGGATCATTAGCCCAGGAAAGGCTCTATTCTGGAGTCGTCATCTGATCTCTTGCTTGTGATGTAGCCTGGAGAGGGATACCATCCAGTTACCGGTGTCCTCTGAGCTAGCCCTGGTGATGCCTATTCAAAGTTTGGCACTACACATCACATGCAGTCATCAACGGGAACATGATCGAGTCTGCTAAGATTTGACGAGAGCTGATATTGATCCGACACGAAGGATTAATGCTCTCCCGGAGATCGATCGTAAGATGTTTGGCCTGGATCAACTGCATCTGGCTGATTTGTAAAGGAAGCGCCCTTTCACGACTGGATGGAGAGCATAGCTTCGTACGCCAGCCTTGTGGATACTTGTAGATCATCTTCCATGCAGTGGTTTCTGGGACCCGTTTCACAAAGCTTTTTTGCAATGACAGATGACAAAAATCAGGGACAAATCTGCTGATAACCAATCAGAAGCAAGGATTTCAGTAGCTTATAACAAAAACTGTCATTTGTCACTGATGACAAGTTTTGTGAAACACCCCCTTGGAGTGCTCTCGAGGATAGATGAGAATTCGTCCAAATGCTGCACAAACCACAACGGAATGTTCCAACGTGACATCATACCAGATTTGACATTCAACTAATTCCCATCAAGAATAACATGAGATTGTTCTCGATCAGTCATTACTCCTTCTAATGTTAGAGATGAGAGACTGGTAAGAGACTGGTGAAACTGAATTTGGGAAGAGAGGACTGGAGAAGATTGCTGTGTAAAGTGGTACAATGTAGCTATGTGTGAAAACTATTACTCAAATACTGTGCTTTTTACTCTTCAGTCCATCATGTCCATTGTATTGCAAATATTTTGTGTGTTAGATTGTTTTATAACATTGTCCTTTTTTGTAAACTCCATTTTATAATATTTCCCTCACTTGAAAGATTCTGTAACTTATAGGCCATTTCTTAAACGGATGTCTGGCTAATTGAATGAATTAGTCATCAGATCAAGTTCAGTCAATTTGGAGTTTAGGCATGTACAATCCTTAAACCTTTCAAATTATCATGACTACAATCGTAAAAGAAATAAAAATGGAGTTCTTACCTATCCGCTAGGGATGTGATGCTGGTCAGTTTTAGTTATAGCCATTATTGCTCTCATCGTCTTTTTAGTTACATCATTTATTTCTTCTTTCGATCATATTTTCTACAGCCTTATTTGCATAGAATTATGCTTAGAATCAGTTATTTCATTTTTTCTCTCTTTTATATTCTGTTTTTATTTAATATTCCATTTCAATCAGGGAAAAAATATATAAATTGCTATCAGGAAGATGGAAATTATGCTGTACAGGAGTCATCATGATCAGATTCAATGTAATATCAATTGCAAGAATATTTTTTTTTATTTGCATTTGTAACCAACCCAACTGAATATCTCTACAAAATTGTGTCATGTTTTATTTTTTTGTAATATCTGTCTTGAGTTACACTTTACAATAAATATGTCTGTAAACGAGGGATTTCCAAGGCTCAATTGAGAAAAAGAACCACCTTAATACTTCATACACCCAAGAAAATCTCCGTAATAAATATTGTGGAGATTCTGCAATTATCTGGACAAAGTTTACTCTTTAGATCCTTGAATTCTTGGGTTTGGCCAACATATCATACAAAAACTAGTGTATGGAATCTCTGACTATTACATTACAGCTGACAATAGTTGAATGGGATAGTTCATTGTGAGGTACTCTGAGAAGATTGTATCCTTTAACTTGTATGCAATCTAAAATTGGTCTACATATACCTAGTAATACGATTAGTGTTCTTCAATTCTACCATCAGCTATCTGAGAACCCAGGGACATGGGAGGAAAGTAATTTACAGAATTGGTGAAACATTAGACTTTCATTTAAAGTAGAGTATATCTCGCTAACATCAGCTTCAACAATGGTGGAAAATGGTGATGTATCGTGGACTAGCATTGACTTCAGAGATGGTACCTTGTTGTATGTTGCTGATGAAAGGGATTTGCAGCATATGATTTCCTGTAGGAGTCTATAGTGTATCACTGCTGTCAATATAGGACATCCGCAGTCTGTGGATGGGATGGTTGGTAGGTTGACACTTTCATTGAAAACATGATGTACCATTTGTTACTTCTCTCAACACTGTTGCAGGAGAGTCATAATCAATCCTGATAATTATATTGCATATTTGCTCAAGACGCTCCAAAATTACCCTGGCTCTGCTAGGCTACTGATTTTGATGCTCACAGCATTCAAGTAATCCCTTCTGACCAGTACCCATTTAACACCTGGGTGGAGAGTGGCAAATGTAGATGAATGTCTTGCTGAAGGACATTACTGCCGCAGTAGGATTCCAACTGCGAACCTTGTAATCTATAGTCCGACGACTTATCCTCTAGATCACGACACTTTTACACAAGTAATCTAATTCTGCAAAATGAAGACAGACCTATTACCAGATCTGTATCTGGTCTCTTCTCAATGGCCTTCTTTTAATTGTCCTATCTTTGAAATGCACAGACATATTCAACATATTGTTGAAATCAGGAGTGTCTGTTTTTTCGGCAAGGTTCTGTACATTGGATCATTGTGTGTGTATGTGTGTATGTATGAGATGGCCACATCATGATTTGTTATAGAGCAGTATTTTTCTCAATTTCTTGTATAGATTCATGTTTGAAAGTGATGAAATAAAAAAAGATTCATGCAACCAATTGTGATGCTACATTAAAGTAAAAAACTATTATAAGAAAATGTATTGTTATATTATTATTATTATTACTATTCACTATCACATGAAATCTGATTTCTTAGAGATCTATAAGTCAGGGTTTTATATCAAACCAAATGAGTTTTCTTCTTATTTTTCTGTATGCACCATGATGAAAATATAGTGAAATGAAAATAGTTGTATTTATTATATGGCTTGATTTTGTGTGTGTAGATAAAGCAGAGAGTATGAGTTGACAACAGTATAGAATCGTTTGATTCATTTTGGAGAAAGCTATATGTTATGTAACACTGAGCTCATATATATTTTTCACTTGATCTTGTAAGTTGTAACATAATTTAATTTCATGAAGGAAACGTACCTTACCTGCTACCCTTCAAATATTGTATGCCAGGAATCGCTGTGCACAATGTTTAATCCACAGTCCACGAGTACATGTAGCTCGTAAAAATTGGAAGCAATAGTTGATATGCAAGTTAATTTGATGTCACTGAAATAAAATGATAATTTTTCATATCTTTACAATGTTATTCTCTTAAAAGATGGAATATCATATCCAACAATAATCATTCACCTTCCGAATGGTTAATAAGATAGCTTTTCTATGAATAGTTTGTTTGGAAGTAATTGCAAATAATCTTATAGTGACAGCTGGCCCAATCATAATTCGCGGAAACGTCTTTTTGCCTGTCAGATATGCATTCCTTTCAAATTCACTCTCTGTTTAACAACTGTTATGCCAAGAAGCAAGTTGATTATAGTAACCAAGGTGAAGATAGGATAGAATTCAATTACCTAAAGAATCATTTCGCAGTTAACAGCTGGAGTTAGATAATATTGAAGTATCAAGATAATGAAAAGTAGTGTGCATTTGTGACCAACTTCTTACATGTTATCTTTGCTTGAAGGACAAGTGAGTGTTCTTTGTAATCAAACTTGATACATGAACCTACCACTGTTCAAAACTAGGCTTTTCAAAAACATGAGACTAGACAGATTTCAGGTTTTAGGTATGTTGACGAGTCACGAACTCTTACAAAAAGCCGACCATTTACTACTTTTGTTTGATGCATCTTTAGGAGATGGAATCATACCATTGTGGGTGGCACACTATTACTACTATGTTATATCATAGCCCCTTTTGCTTCTCATTCCACCTTCCCAACTCTTGATGTTGTTTATCCATCTCGCAGGTCTTCTACCAACATTTTCCTTCAACTTAGCGTTCGATTGTTGCTAGTACAGCTCTCTTCTCTCTCATTTTTCTAGGCCCACACTGGGCCATACACTATTAGAATGATTATATCTGCTGTTGTTTCCTTCAGTAACTTGCAGATTACTGTATTAAATGCATTATGAGCTTAGTGTTACGTAGCAGAAATTTGGGTCTGTCAGTACCTCATTCATGGAATTTGACATTGAAATGTGTGGTTCTCTTATTTTATTATTATTTTTAATTTACGTGCATGTTTATGTACAGGAGTTGTTCAAGGGGAGAAAAATCTTATGAAATTTGAGTAAAGATGGAAAAAAAATAATAAAAGTGAAAATGTTTATGACTTGAAAATAATGTGTCATGCGTCACTTGTTGGGTAAGCTTTGTCTGTATTGTATGTTTATTGTGCAATGCACAGAGACTGCAAGTTCTTAAGTATTGTATTTAGATTTGTTAAAAGAGAACAGAGATGACGACAAAGACCCAATGTACCAGTTTCAAACTTGATACATGTAGATTTTGCTTTGATAAGCAATTCAAATCAGGAAGTACATTATCCTTAAAGCTAAGCCTCATGGCATAATTGGGCATTGATGTAGAAATGGTTAAGGAGAGAAAGAGATGGAGAGGAAGGAGAGAGAGAGAGAGAGAGGGGGTGGGGTAGGAAGGGAGGAGAGAGAGAGAGAGAGAGAGAGAGAGAGAGAGGACACATAGTTTGGCACAGAGAAAGCGGAGTAGAGAGAAGGAAGATGAAGGAAGATGAAGGAAGAGAAAAAACTTATAAGGAAAGAAGGCTGAAAGGAAAGTTCAGAGCAAACATGAATTAGAGGTATGTTTTCTTTTTGGCAGTAAGAGAAGTAGAAATTCATTTTGAAAATAATTGTGATGCCTTGAGATTATACCGGTAAGCAACTGATTTCATATTCATTCTGAAAGAGTAAATGCAGTGTTGCTTAATATTTTGGGAATGTGGAACATGTTTTCATTGTGCAGATTACCATCTAAGACCTTGAAGGGAACTGGAAAAGGTATTTATAGATTTGAATGATATTATACTTGTACTCCGATTTAAAGATATAAATGCTCAGTAAAATGGGAAGAATAGGGGCATAAAATCGAGTACTGGAAGGGATAAAGATGGCATTGACCTATTTCATGTATACGGTTTTTCCATCCAGGATTAAAGATATGTTCAGATATGACATGGCAAAACCGTAGCATTTACAACAGAAATGATGACCTCGGTGAATACACACAGACCTTTGTTGCGCTCAGTTGCCATCATTTGCACGTAAAAAAACAACTGGTGTGTTTCTTTTCGCTGCAGTTTCAATACCGCATATCTGAACAAGCCTTTAAAAGACACAAATTTTTCCTTCCAAGCTTGATTTATTACAATTCTCTTTGATCACATTACAAACATGCAACAACAAAGAAATGAAATTGAGATAATTCATCCAAACACTAGACTTGCTGGTATCCCTATTCATGATTTGTGTCACTTTTTGTAAAAATATAAGAAAAAGGAATTAAAGGTAATACAAAGTTTTGGTTTGGGGTCACAAATTTGATTCAAATGAACATATTGGAAGCATGTACGATCCTGCAATATTCAATGATCGTTGTCGAGGTTGAAATTGTGAATAAATTCTTTGTTGTATAGCTCCCTCTCATGATTGATAATACTTTAGCTTCAAAACAACGTTTCTTTACTAAAATCAAAGATATGTTCTATTCCCGTTTGGAAATTATATATCAGAACTGCATACTCTGAGATTTCCTGGCTTTAAAACGTATGGCAATAGGCGCTATTTGAAATTTATCGGGGGCACCGATAAATATTAGAATTTCTCGAAAATCCTTAGCGTTTTAGAGCCCAGATTTTTCAAAGTTGCTTATTCTAACACTAGGTTTCACAATGGTAATGCAAATTTTAGATTTCATATTTCAATCCTGTTGAAATATTACCATATTTTCCCGTAACATGAGAGTAATTTTAATAGTTTCATACTATTAATTAAATGTATTGTTAACTGTAACTGTATAATTGTTTTAAATGGGGGCACGCTGGGGTGGGGTTGTAGCAACTACTCCGAAGATCAAGATTACAGTAATCTTGATCTAAGGAGACACGAACGAACGATTACCAAAACTTTGTATTGTACCTGAAAGGTTTCCGTGATTTTAGAATTGTACTGAATATTCTACAACAACATGCACACAACAAAATAAACAGAAGATTTGTTTTTTATTTCAACATTTTTATTGAATGCTTACTTGTACATATAAAAACATTATAAAATGACACTCACACACATATTCAGTTGTTTACCATGGACACGTACTATAGTATACACATCCCCTTGGCATACAGCCAACATGAATGACCATATTATAGGCAGCAATATGAGGAGCTGCATCCATTGCTTGAATATATCGTTGGTGCTTGGAAACAGATCGTGGTAGATAAGTTCTTCAGGGTTGCTAACGTAAACAAATACATGTACATATACACTGATCAGGTCCCTGTTGCACAAAACTTACCATTAATGGTCACTTTGCCATCAATGGTAACTACCATGGAAACCTTGATTTTGATTGGCTGTTGAGCCCTGTAACCATGGTAGTAGCCATTGATGGCAAAGTTACCATGATAAATGGTAAGTTTTATGCAACACGGCCCTGACATGACAATATTTGAGATGAAATACAAATCTGACACATAATTTTTTAAAGCCATGTTTTAAAAACTAACAAATTGTTAAAGAATAGTTTCTAAGTAAACACATATATGTTTGACAAGTATGGCAATTCCCCATCCCACCTCCCCCCTCCCCCCTCCCAACAAAAATGCAGAGGTATTTGAATAGTATCCTTGAACATGAACAAGTTAATAGCAATGAGAATCAACTCTTGTGTATAATTTCACTCTTCATGATTTATACCGCAATTGAAAAAAAAAAAAAACCAGTACATGTATTATTTAGAGTTGACTGCATTGTATAACAATGAAAGGACCGAGCACAAAAGTATATTGAAACAAAACAATTGAACAAAGCAATTTTTAAACAGAAAAATATCAAATGAGGATGAGATTAGGAGATATGTGCATTGTAAATTGCTAGAAATGAATAACCTTCAGGTAGATCATTATTGCTCTGTGTGTAAATAAAGACAAAGAAATACAGTAATTTCCCCCTTGTTTTCTAGGTAATTTGCATGTTTGAACTTTTGCCATGAAAAAGTCTATATTCTTGGGAGTGTGTAAATCATATAGTTATATACTTCTTTGTTGATGCCTAAAAATCTTAAAGACATTGCAGCTCCTGGTTGGCAAAATAACTCCAAAAGGGCTACAACATGACTCTGAAACCCAGAGTAGCTGAAATTTCTCTAAATAATGACAAAAGCAAAGCTGTTTCTATTGAATTATGACATTTGAAAAAAACATAGTTTCTCATTTCCTACAGAAAACAGCTGCTCTTTTTCAGAATTCCAAGAAAACTTTTGAGGTATCATTGCTTTGTCAATACGTTTAAATCTATCATATCTATTCTGGCAGTTATACAAAACATACCAATTGTAACCTAAGTCTGTTTTTAACTAAAAATAAACTTTAAAAATTATACTGTATCCTCTTGTCAGGTATCACATCTAATTTCAGTAAAAACAAATGTAATAAAAGCATCTGTCTTTCCACTGGGATTAAGTTTTCTCTCATTCTTGAAGTGTTGCTTCTACTACTTTTGTACCTACCGGTATACCATTGTCTCTCTTTAGAAATACATTGGAAGCAGACTTATTTTGTTTTATTTACAGTATGTACATTTTTACAGTTAACTCTTGCTAGTAGTTATAGTCTGTAATAAATATAATCTGTCACACAAGGAATCACATGATCCCACACAATCATTTTGATGTTGCTTTATGGTATTTTTCTAGTACTGTCTTCTTGTAGGCAGCTTGGTTGGTCCACAATTCTGCAGCTTGAACATTGAGGGGGCTGTCATTATTGGGTTCTATAGAGAAAGATAAGTATGAAAAAAAACAGAGAGTAAATAGTAACTTGTTTCAATACACATACAAACTAAGACAAAGTGCATTAAATTTTATATATTACTGGATGATCATGATGTGCATCTTCATTTTTATGTATTCATAATAACTTTATATATCCATTATCTTTTTACATTATAAATGAAAAACTGCAATGTTTTGATTGAACTAGATCTTGAACAAGCAATAAAAAAAAAAGTAAAGTAATGAAGAAAAATAACAATGGCATACATGTTCGTGTTTTGAAAATATCAACCAGAGTTCCATGCATATAGACAAAAGATGATATGTGGAAATTTGTAAACATTGCTCATGTCCGGTATCAAAGTTCAAGTGAAACTATGCCACTGATATATATCAATACAGTACTGCCTTTGTTTACAGCAACAACGAAAATTCCCCACCAAATTCTATTGTTTAAGAAATGATTCATCATCTATTATTTAGATCATTCAGACATTTGAAAATAACATTGGTTACAATTTTAGGGTACTTACCTCCTAATAAGATTTGCAATGACATGAGTAGTGAGCCGACATCGTACAATGCTGACCACTTTTCTTTCAGGATGTCTAAGCATATATTGCCATCGTTGTCGACGTTAGGATGAAATATTGGGGTGACAAACTTGACTGTTGGAGCGACGTGAGGGTAACGAGATGGGAACTCCAGTGAAAGCTTGTACTTCAGAGATTCATAAACCTAGTAGGGAATAAAATCAAGTTGAGAAATAAACAAGTTGAAAAAATATCAACTAAATGGGATACATCTGAGATGGTTACTTATATATCTTGTTTTATCAAAATAATTATCATAATAAGTATCATAATATTACTCATGATATAAAATGAAATAGGATGGCAAAACATTATACAAATATCATATGCTCTGGCATTCAATGTAACAAAATAAATGAACCAAAAACTTCCACATTTTTTTAATTTTATTTCACCAATGCTGTAGGTCAAGGTGGACAAATATTGAACAATGGATTAAGGGTACAATGTATTTTGTATTTTATAATATTGAGGGTACTTGTAGTCCTATGCCTTCTTACTTTGAAGCCTGTCAATTACATTCAGGTTGCCTTCATGTCAAAGGCGCACATCTAAAACAATGGGTACACTACTACACATAGAGAAGAGAGGTGCACAGTCTGTACTCGTTAGACAATACACAAATGTTATATTGCACCCATGTGCTCATATAATAAAACGTTGAGTGACACACGAAACCTTTTTAGCAAATTGGATACATGTATTTGCTTTGGAATTTAAGCAATGTTTTCATGCCTGCAAATAACAATTTAAAAGAGAAGAAATAGGAAATAACTGATCATTATTGTATTACACGTATGTTCTTTATAACTGTAGCTATACAGTTGGAAACAAATCAAAAAGGTTGGCTTTGAATTTAGCAGATCTGCTTCATTCTAACCGAATACACAGTTAAAGATTTAGAATGAGCTCTCACATATCCAGTCCCAAGAGTCCACACTAAATTTGTTTACATCAAGTCCAAGGGTACAGATTTAAATTGCCTTTTTTGTTGTCATGGACCTCCTTTTGAGGGAAACATCTAGAGTTTTGGAGCCTACTGGGAGTATGCTGTGCACTAGCCTGTTAGTTGAGCCTTCATTAGCCCCACCCCCCCCCCCCCACAAACAAAGGATGTAGGGCAATAGGAAGACAATGAAAAGCTTATCATAGATCAAAGAGAATCACAGGATGAAGGGGAAGGCCTTTGATAAAACTCCTAACAAATGCACAGAACAGAAATGCTTGCATTGACTTGTCAGTTGTCACCTATGTTTTACAAATATGCTACTAAACAAAGAGGAACTGTGTGAAAGGGGTTAAATACCACCAACATGAAAATATACAGCTTCCTGCCTTTTCTCACTCACAGCATCAAAGCAAGGCTCAATACTAACAGGCTCCCATGAAGCAGTCACTCAAAATGTATCTTCAGGCCCCTGTCTTACAAAGGGTTACAATTGATCCAAATCAATCTCAAGTTTGCAATCTCCTATCTCTTATGTACATACGTAGTTGCAATTGATCGAAATCACAAATAAGTTGCGATTAATATGAACTCTTTGTAAGACAGGACCCAGATCTTCAATATTTAAAAATAGGGCTCATGCATATGGACTAAAAATTGTAGCCTGCATACCATTTATAAGAAAATGAGCTACATGTATTATGGCAATCTGATTAAAGCATTTTCCTTTTAATAACAAGGAAACTTCCTGCTTTTCATATCAATCATTTTTATTTTCCTTTTGTATCTAGATTAGAATTCAACCCATGGTTGCAATAAGTGAATAAATTATAATCACTCTTACCGATTCTGCAGGCCCCTCTATTGTCCCAATCCATTTGAATATGTTGTCATCTTCTGGAAAAGCTGAGATTCCTTTGCCACTACATTTCTATCAAATTAAAGAGGACATAAAAATCATGTCTAAGGTTAGGCTTAAAAGAAATACTACGTTAACTTTCACTTACCAACGCATCATATAAAGTAATTTTCAAAAGAATCTTTAATAGTTTACCTCCAAGAAATGAGCCAATAGATGAATAATCATTACATAAATCCTGATGAAAAATATCCTCACTGAAAATTTCTGAGGCTTCCTAACCACAAATAAATAAAATTAATGAATAAATTTTAAAAATCATATGTACCAGGTAAATGAAAGTTTGGTTTCTAACTTTGTTGCCTCATGTGGCAATACACAAATGTAAGTACTACACATTTTGTGTAGCAGTTGAAAACTGTTTTCCACTTTATAACTCATATATTTTAAGGCTACAAGGAAAAAGAAATGAACTAATGTATTTTTTCTTTTTCTTTGATAATCTCAATAAATTAAAAAATCCATAACTTTGACTAATTTACTAAGTCGTCAGGAGAAGAGAGAGATGTTCATACAAAATATTTGGTAGTTAACTTAGACTTAGTGTAAAATATTTAAATTTGCTATTCTAAGAAAAATCCTCCCAAGTGTTATGAAGAATATGCATAAAGGAACTCCAGTCTTATTTTGTTAATACTTAATGAGAGAGAAAGAGAGAGAGAGAGAGAGGGGGGGGGGGGGAGAGAAAGAGAGACAGAGAGAGACAGAGATGATTGTCAACACTGTGACGAAAGGTTATGTAGCCTACTGTAGCCCGTCCATAATATGTTTTACCATATTATTTGTTTTGCTGGTAACTGAGTGAGCATTTCTGTAAATTACGTCAATTTTTTTTTCCTGATGATATTGAGGTAAACTTGTTGAAAGCTACATACTTTTTAAACCAGTATCAGTACATAAGCCATACACAATACTCCTAAAGACATGTCCTAAAATTCATCTTCAAATTAATTCTTAATGTTACTCACCATCATAAGACTCATCAGTTCTTTTTGCAATCTATAGTGGAAGAGAAAGAAAAGCACTGTGAAAGAAAAGCTAAATGAAGGGAAAAAACCAAAAACATGATGCAATGTCTCTCTTTACATGTCATTTGGATCTATGCAACATGTAGAGTTTGTACTGGTAGTGGTAGTGAAATACTTGGTTTATGGTAACCCACTCCCTAAATCTGAGAAAACTTCTAGCCTACACAATTTTTGTTTGATCTTTGTCAAGAATTCTCCTTTGCGTTTTAAATCTTGACAGATTAGTCGACACTCTCATAATTTTTTTTTAATGAACATGGCAACAATTTTAAAGGACTTTACTTAAGCTACAAGATGACCGAAAGCAGGAATTTCATGACTCATCAAATTATCATGGGGCTAATCCGACGATTCATTGATGTTGTATTGTCGATTCAACATGGCGCAGAGACATTACGCATGCACGGTATTAGACCGAATTTTCCGTCTCTTTCGTTTGTTAGCCTCTTATTGGGGTAGGGTCGGCCGGCTCTCTCTTTAGAGTCGGAAACCGTCTATACACATTCCCTTGATAACGCCACGGTCATTTCAGTCGTAGCGTTTTGTCCCGAAAAATCCCCCAAAATGTCATTTTACCTCATGCATTGATTATTTAAAATTAGGAGAAGGTTATACTACATCGGTTCCACTTACCAACTTGACTGAAAAAAATCCGTTTAATGGTCCCTTTTAAGGAAATTATGGGTCAAAATCGACATCCATGTTGAAATCTTGCAAGCCGTGTTAAACTCTCGCTGTGCACGGAGTCATCTAAATCAATCTCATCCCTTCTAGTCTACGCCGAAGGCAAAACGATTATGAAGGAAAAACTGTGCGCCATCTACACGTTCGTAATGGCGTTATCACAGTTTTTTTTTTTTTGTCTAGCACGGTATCAGCGCAGGGAATATGAATATTCATGATATTCTAGAGCACCGTTTGCTCAAAATTGCTGAATATGCATGAATCGAAGATACAAAGCCCTGCTCGACCTCTCGACAATACAATTACAACAACCTCCTCCCTCCACAAATAGCAGTAACCATGGAAGAATCCTTGATCGATCAACAGGCTTAGACATACAACATCGTGTATTGAAGTAAAGTAAAGTAACATGGATGAATCGTCAAGTTAGGAGTCTTAGGACGAAAGAATCACCCTTTTCTTTCCCCTCCGAAGACTTCTTTCAATTATAATTTTATTTTTAAGTGGTTGGAAAGATGCCCAGAGGATTCAAAAAACATTGTAGACTAAGTCAAAATAGTAGTTGCCTGTTTACATTGCGAAAAAAATGTGACCAAACCCGCTGTGTGAATCGTTTCCAGAAACGGGCTCTGGAGCTCCGACGCCTTCCGATTAACGATTCCCTGGGCTGGAGTTTCAGTTAGTAAAAGTAAGCCCGTAAATTTTGCTCTTGCAATAATAACTTTATTAACATTTTAAGAATTTTAAATAGATCTAGATCTAAGTAGGAGATACCCATAATTTCTTATGTCTGATTTATGGATCAGAAAATTAGATCTAAAGATAGAAAAATCAGTAGGGGCGCTGGTCCGAGAATAAGGATCGTCTTCATAAACAAGGATCGTCTTCTTTAACACTGACCGATGCGTCCTCAAAAATAAGGACCGTCTGCATTTTTGCAGATGTTTCATTTTGATCGGCGCATTGGCGATGCAAAAAACGGATTCTGCAATGATTTTCTTGATGCAATTTACATTGACTTTGTACAGAGACCTTCACATTATGAGCAATAAATCCTTGGGAAGACGGACAACCCATAAAAGTAGACGGACAACTAGGGTTATTTTCCCCCGGGGAATCCATTTTTGGCATCGCCAGCGGGCCGTTCTGTAACATGAAAACCCCAGAGCGCCGATGAAAAAAACATCCTCGAAAATGCAGACGACCCTCATTTTTGAGGACACATTTTGTCTTCGTTTATGACTATGAGGATATCCTTGTTTATGAGGACGATCCTCATTCTCGGACCAGCGCCCCTACTGAAAATGGGGGAGAAAGTTTACGTACCAAAAGTGTTACAAAATCAGCTCAATCTCCCCCCGTTGACGTTGTGTGAACCGCATGGGTTATCGTCTGTACTATGGGGAATGTTGACAAATGTCAGTTTTATTAAAGAAGGATCAATACTAGCCTACTACTAGATGGTTATTTCTGTCTAGTTATCTCCACGCCGGAGTCACAGAGCTGAGTTGTGAACAAGCACAGATGGAATGGACCGGGGCCCGTATGCGTATGGCCTATGGGATCTTGGATTACCCATCCGCCGCGCCGCCCCGCTAACTAACTTGATGACTTACCTCGTACTGACGGAATGCCCATCTTTTTTGTTTGGTGAATCGCAAGATTTGTCTTTTCTTCTTGCTGCTGCAGCGGCCAGAGCAGGATCCAAATTCTGGGACGCCATTTATATTTAAGTTGATTACCCTTTCAATGAGTGAATTTTACGTAGACTGCGATCACTTTCCAGCGTCAAAGTGTAGCTCCGGTTGCTCGTCTAAATGCGGAAGTTGAATATGCGCGATTGTTATTTAAAAATGGCCGCAGCGGTCTTATGTCCAATCAAAGTGAGTTTTACGAAGAGTTGGCTACAATTAACCAATCATGCGTTTTCTTTCGCAAACAAAGGTCGGTGAGAAAATCCCGCAAAGGCCTCTGGGATATTCAAAATGGCAGCCCCCATGCGCAAGTCGAATGTCGTCAAAAACATATTTGACAAGATTTCGAAAGTACAGAATGGAAGAATTGTACCGAATTTTACTATCAAAACATCAAAAAATCATACTCCTATTTTAGGTATGTCAGGTAAGTCACTTTGAATGCAAATAAGGAGTGAACAGGTAATAAATCGTCCTTTTATTTTTATGGTTAGTCCCGTGTGTGACTTTTTATGTGTAGAAGAACAACACCAACAGCTTTCATTGACGACAAGAATTGTCGACAGTAAACATTGGACAAGACGTGTACTTTTATCTAGGGCCTGTTGATTATTTTTCTTCTCTCTTTTCGCTGCAAATTGACATAAATTATTCCCATAATAATAATATTAGAGATAGTCTAGACCCTACTGCATGTCAGTAATGCTTCTTGATCTTGCTCGCTGAGTTGATAGTCGGTGCAGTGCCAGCCATATACGGATATATACTCATTATCTCTATGGTGTCAGCTCAGTGGTGTTTGAAATGTTGAGAATCAATACTCTAGAACAGTTTTTAATACACAGCCAGGATAGTAATGCAGCTATGATGGTTATATCTAAGTTTGACTTTATTCAGTTTATTTTTTTAGTTTAGACCAGAGTCTAGTAGCCAATGCTAATGCGTGTATGTAAAGTCAAATGAGAACATTAATAAGAATAAAGATAATAAAGAGTGATGTTAATCTGATTAATTGATTGCATTTTTGCAGGTTCACTTTTATTCCAAAGGCACATGTGTCAAAATGTTACAACACCAAACATGATCTTCATAGATACTCACTCTACAGTCAAAGCTATAGAGAGGAGTGGTAAGTTTTGTCTATTTTGTCTGCTTGATCGGCAGTTATTAAGATATATTTTGCCCTCATTCTTAGCTCATAAGAATTGAAACATTTAATTTCTCAAGAGATGATATCAAATCTCTTCTCACTCCATACAACATAAAAGATGAAAAGATATGATAATTGAGATATCATTAAGAGATTTAACCAATGATCAAAACGGTCAATATTTGTTCAATACGAAAGTGATAACATGACTGTGTTTCTCTTTTTTTTATTGAAAATCAAGTTTTAACTGTCCCTTTATTTATAGAAGATGAATTAAATTTGAAAGTTATTCACAGTAGTGAGTGTATGAAATATTAATTTAAATTCATGTCGTATTTGAAGTTTTAAAATAATGAATAATAATAATAACATACCACTTGTATATACCACTCGAATACCTTGAATACCTTGAATACCAAAGCTTCTGGAAGAAAGCCGTCTCCAGCTGCCAAGCTTCCAGGTCTAACTTCAAGTTCAGGGGGGGGGGGGGGGGAGATGTCCCAGCTTCTGGGTCATGCACCATTTTACATCTGTATCTTGCTTGCTGGGTCATATCAGGATTGTCATAATTGGAGTGTCAACTGGGAGAAGGGTGAATGATATTGCTCCTTCTTCCAGTGTTTGTCAAGTCTGGCTTAATTAATACATAAGTCTCTAAGTGCTTTACAGATATATATCATTAATGAAGGATGCAGTTACCGGTATGCGAGCTTCAGACGTAGACAGTGAATAGTGAAAATGTGTTTCTATTTGCAATCATCTCAGATATAATTTCAATCAAAGTGCATAAGGACGTGTTTCTAAGCAGCCTTTGGCTGTTTCTAGAAAGCAATCTTGTTATTTTGCTGCTTTTCTTCTCTAAAGAGAAAAGCATAATCTTAACTTCATAACACCTTCAATTCTAGTGATGACATTGTCTTTATGACTTTTATTAATTTGGTATTTAGATTTTTTAAAGTAATAGTAACCATCATGATATGGCATAAACTCAGTTTCCTAATCAGCCATTTAATTTTATATTCATGAAGTTGTTTTCATTATTCATGCACCTCCTCAGGTTTGACAGCTGAACAAGCTGAATGTCTTACTGGGATCTTGGTCAGTATCATGAAGAAAAATACTGAGCTCAATCAGAAAGAGCTTGTGACCAAACATCAACAGGTAAAATGAATGTCTTTTACATATTGTTATTTACAAGTTTGTGCAAGCAATATAGCCATTATCCAAAGTAAGCTCAACTTAATTTACGTAAAATTGATGTGGTAGAAAGACAATGGTTTAAGAAGGGAGGAGGTTTCAAAGATATGGAGAGTAGAGCTGATTTCAAATTATTGGAAGTCATCTCATAACCCATTGTAAATAAAAGCCTTACCAAAATCACACACCGCAAACATTCTGAAATGGCAACATATTGACATTAAAAGTGCATGCATTCATTTCTAAAATAATGTTATAATTTTGCCATTCATGAAAATGCATGTAAATTGAAACTTGTAGCTCCTAATCCATAGTATAAGTTCATGATGAAACCAGGAAATTTCTGATTCTTCCTTTTTCAATCTTAATCTAAAATCTAGTACATTTTTTCAATAGTTCCATTTAACATTTTGAATGGTTCTTTGTATATTTCTTTAACACATTACATTTTATTGTATGCCTTACATGCAAATCGCATATACTTTTAAATCAAGATGGATAGAAGTAATGAGGTCTAGTGGTTTGTGGATCACAGTTAGTAGATCACATGGTTCATTGTTACTTACCCTGCGACCCGGCCTCAACACCAATACCCTTTAACAAAACATTAACCCACATTTGCAAATCAAGACCCAGATAGGTAGCTGGTAGAGAGGAATTTCTTAAATGCTAATGCCATGCTAAAATAATGTCTGCAAGAGTAATAATATAATATTTCCAGTAAATAGATTAACTAAATCAGGGAATGGTATCTTCAATTCTTCATGGTTCTATATGAAATTTGAGTCTATCTATGATTATGTTTCTTTTCATTGTGTGATTTTTAGGAGATAGTGCTCCAGCAAGTGATGTCTCACATAGCCTCTGTTAAGAAAGACATGGTGATTCTAGAGAAGAGTGAGTTCTCTGCTCTGAGAAGTGAGAATGAGGTAAGGAAATACAAATAATTATTGTCTTGAGATTGATGTTATACCTCCAATGCTATGTTGATTGCAATGCTGAATCACTGCTGTAGAAGTGAAGTGCCTCATGGACACAATACCTTACTATTACTGACCCATATCAGTAGCATTGGGCATTTGATTTCAAGTATATTTGGCCCCTTGCAAATCTTGTATATTAACATTATTATTATTATAGTAATTCAAAATTATATGCTGACTCCCATTTGGTACAGATTTTATGTTTCAAGTATGTACTATTTTATCTTTAAAAAAATAGATGAGATACTTCATTAATGCAAGATCATGAACCAAGTAATGTCTGGAAACCATATAACATCTTCATAGTCGAGCAAAAAATAAAAAACTAGTAATAATAATATTAATAAAATAATCATTACTCTATGTCACAATTGATTTTAATGACTCTTTTATTGTACCTCTTTCTACATGTCCTGTGAAAAAGCACATCTAGGCTTTGTCTTTGAATGCAGCACTATTCATGTTTTAATCATGTCATCTTTATTATTTCCCTCTGAAACAGAAATTGGTAATTGGAGTCAACCAACTCAGGCAGCAACTAGCTGTAAGTAGATTTCTTTGTCATCTCCAATTACCCATTTTTGTTTTTAAGATTAACATTCAAGGATTTTGTTTCATTTCTGAAAAGTAGCCAAACCCATGATGTAACTTCACCAGGGGGGGGGGGGGGGGTTCACAAAGATCCTTAGTCGAACTTAACTCTAAGTTGGACTTAACAATTATGGGGAGGGAGCCATTTGTAGCCTTTAAAACAAATATATTAAAAAGGGAGAATTCAAGTATTTTAGATTTTTTAAAATTAAATCTCCTTGATAATAGAAAATATGAATGATTTGAATCAACATTTTATGCCTTTTAAAATAACTTTTACAAAAATATTTTCAAAGATGCTAAGGGCTTTCCATAACTGTTATGTCCAACTTAGAGATAAGTTCAAGTTAGAATCTTTGTGAAACACCCCCCAGATCTGTCAGAAAGTTGTTTTGTTAGTGAGATATTATAACTAGGTTGGACTAGGCTCTGGTTTGGTATGCATCTGTCACTGATCTAGTGACCTATTCAAAATAAAACCGAAGTGGTCCATACCAGCTACAAAATCCAATAAGTTTTCTGATTGTCAAGTGGTCGCTGTTTATATATAGTTTTTTTTTTTGCTGGAAAGACTGGAATATTGTGCACATTAATTCTATTTAATATAAAAGCATGTCTGGGCCGTGCAATTCGTAATCAGTAAGAAATCTGTGAAATAAATTAATTGGTGATAGATGATGATGATGATGATCATAATAATAATAATAACAGCTAGTTCTTATATAGCGCTTTTCAGGACCGAAGGCCCTCTCAAAGTGCTTTACAGATTACAGATATATATATATATATATATATATATATATATATATATATCATAGCTTTTATTTGATAAATTGTTTCTTTACAGGATGAAATCCAAAAACTTGCCAACACAGTGAAATTAGACATCAATCTGGAGAGGAGTCGATCTATTGAGATGGTATGTCTGTATTTTGTTTGCATAGAGATTTCTACCATTTCATTTTACATGTACTTTTTTCGCCTTAGGAAGTTTCTTATGATCAGCTTCTATTAACATGAAATCTGTTTCATGGTAAATACAGATACATTTTCTCCAGTTAAAAGTAAATTATATTTTCTCTAATAATTATTCATTCCTCCTCACTTGCTACCAGGGATAAACTGAAAACCAAGTTTTTAAAGAGTCATATCAAAATATCATAGTAGAAAGAGCCATGGTGCCATTCTGCAGTTTTTCTTCTTTAGTCATTTTGATGTGCAGAGGACTTTGAATTTATGATGTACCACAACTGAAAGTTTAATAGTAACTTGAAACTCCCTACACCTGCCATAGACTAAGTCTCTCTCTCTCTTTCTCTCTCTCTCTGTCTCTGTCTCTTCAGTCGGCAGGTCAAGAACAAGAGATAGAGTCGGTTACACAGACGATACGAACAGAGGTCGCCAATATGACAGCAAAATTAGAAGCTACGAAAACAGATATGATCAAATACTTTGCAGGTAAGTCAAGAGATAATCTCAACTAGCAAAACCCCCCAGTTATGACACTGGAAGCAAATGAAGACATAAAACAAAGTTCAGTAATACGATCCTATGGTATCCCACGTTAGAGCTTCCGGTTTCTTGCAATATCCTTGTAGTGCTAGATTAAATAAAAAGGGTGCTGGTGAGCAGGCTGTACTTGTGACGTCATTTTTTATGTTAACTTTGTAGAAATGTGATTGGTTTAGATTAAAAAGGCAGCGGAGTGGCACAAAATTTTGCCGCAGTGACTCCTCTAAATTGTCATTCATTTATACACCCCCAAAAATGCAGGGGTTTTTAGTGGCCGTTTGCTGCTGCATATCTGAACGGGCCTTAAAATGTCTTTCCTTTTCTCTTTCAGGAACTCTTCTTGGTTGTGTAACTTTAGGGCTTGGCTTCTATCGGATCCTTATCAAGTGACATCTAGCATCACATCTCCATAGCATTATCAACGTAAAAGATTACTGAGTATATTGAAATCTATAAAATAAGTTATTTGTTGAAAATGTCTCGTGCATTGGCTATTTTCGGAATACTCTTAGTACTAGTATATGAAAAGTGGTGGATATCTCTTTATTAAAAACAACACATATTTGTTTGATATTAAGTAGCTTTGAGGGTGAAATGCAATTTATTTTTTTTAATTTTTATTCCCAAGAAAGTTCTATTGGTTGTATATTGAGGGTAATGCGGTCTCATTCACCCCAAAATTAAACAACAAAAAATTGCATTTCACCCCCAAATTAGCCAGTCAATATTATCATCACAGGGTTTGAGAATGTTAAGACAGCAGTACTTTATAGGTCAGGTGACACACAACTGTTCAATCCAATGCCTAGATTCTTTCTATCTGTTGTAAACAGGTGTATTCCTTATTGTGAATATTATTGCCTTTCAAAATATTCATTATGCAGAATATAATGGAATAGTAATATACTATCCTATGCTTTTATTAAACAGTACCGTAGTGCTTGCCAGTTCTTGATACAGTTATACAATACATGTGTTTACAGCTGAGAACATAATTCTTGTAATGCTGTTTGTATGTAGGTGTTATCATACATGAAGGAAAAGAAGGCAAGGGTTTAGAAAATTGGTGCTGGAAACCCTCTACTCTTATGCAGATTCCCTGTTTTTGTGCCATTGTTATGATCAGAAAGGTAAATGTCTTTAAGTTTGTGCCAATCACTTTAGAATTTGCAGTATCTTTTGAAGAAGAGTATATAGAAGAGTGAAGTATTTCTCTGAAACAATTCAGAGAGTTGAAATTTTATAGAATTAGATATGTTTGTGCATATGTTTATTTTATAATATAACTGATTTAATTTAGTTTCTTATGAATTGCACATGTATTAAATTTAATTGAATTATGTCATTTTTATTAAAAAGAATTGTATTTTGAAGAATTATTTGTATCTTTTTGATATTGAATGAAATCAAACATTACAGAAAACCAAGAAAGTATCCTTTGAATTATGAGATGGAATTTTAATGGAATTTTGTGTTCAAGGCTGGATAATTATGGTTTCTTGCTTCAAAAAGTTTACATCACATGTAACATGCAACTCTTGAAAGTAAATGCAAGTCTTAAATGTTTATCCTGATTGGTAGAAAGTTAAACAGCCTTTGAATAAAGACTTACACTTGGCGCAAATTGTTAATGTAAAGAAATCTCAGCCATGTTGTTCAGGTCCTTATATATTTTCATTGATAGAGAATAAAAATAAAGATGTATTTATCAATGATAAAGAAGAAATAGAGTATACAGTCTATTCTGTTGCACAAGTTCAGTACAAAGGATATTACCTCATTTATTATGTAATTTATAATCTCCTTCTCTACACTATTTGCCACACTTCTGCCTCTGTATCATTGTGTTTTTGTTCTCTCCTTTCAGTCTCGTCTCTCAATTTCTCTCTTCCACTCTCTCTTTCTCCTCTCTCTCTCTCTCTCTCTCTCTCTCTCTCTCTCTCTTTCTCTCTCTCCCCCCTCTCTCTCTCTCTCTCTCTCTCTCTCTCTCTCTCTCCCCCTCTCTCTATTTCTTTCCTTCATATTATCATATAATTGTATTACTATGGTATATGTACCAATTTGTAAAGAAAATTGTCTTTCGTCATTTTACCTTGTAAAATCCATGTAGTTCAGCCTCTTGGCTGCCAGTTGGAATTCTTTGAATAACTAAAAATACTATTCTATACTGTTATATTTTATTTTATCACCTAATTTTGATATCAATTGATTTAATCTTTACTTTAACCTTGTTTCTTTATTCAATTCATTTATAGGTGATCTGGTGCATATTTGAGGGAGGGGTATTTTTTATAGACCAATTGTTTATTGCTTGATAATCTATTTTCATAGAAGTATAACAGGAATTTATATATTGAGCTGATGTACCTTCTGTTTTCTATGACTTTGTATTAACAGACTATTCAAGAAAAAAGATTTTCATTTTCACTTTCTCTCTGATTTTGTAATGGCCTTTACGGTAATCATATTCTATTTGTATTTATGATTTATTCAACTTTAAATTGTGATGCAAATGCTCTTTATTTTCTGCATCATGTGCATTGGTAATTATTTAGAAGTGGTCACAAGATTTTGAGTTCTTTTCAGGACCAAGCATAAAGATATTACTCTATTAGGGGCGCATTTTTTTCATGAGCTTCCATATCAAACATATCATCATAATCATGATTCATGAGATATAATATGATCATTAATGTATCCTTTCTTATGGGCAGCTATTTGATTATTCCTCTATGTAATTGTGCCAAAAAGTTTTTTGATAATCAACTGCATGGTTGTTCTACAGAGCGTATAAGATATATACCCACTGTTGGTATAGACAGATACTCTTTACAATAAAATACCTTAAAAGGCCACAAAGGATGTAGAGGTTTTTAATTATGCGCACTGTATAACAGAATGATGTGTATTATGATATAAAGGTTGAGTTTATACCAAGAGAAAATGTTTGAAAGAAGACAAGCAAAGAGAAAGGAAGAGTTACTGAGAAATGCGAAGAGATTGAAAGCGAAAATGAATAGGGAGAGAGAGAGAGAGAGAGTGGCATGCAGTCTCGCAAAAGAAAAGGCTAGAAAGAGAGAGAGATGTATGCAATGAAAGAAAGGAGGGAGTCTGGGAAAGAGAAAATAAAATGGGATAGAATTAGAGAGCCTGGCAAAGAGAAAGAGACTGGCGAAGATGAAGAGCAAGAAGAGAGACACAATATTCCTGTCTTTCTCACCTTTCTCTCAGCGCCCCCCCCCCCCCCTCTCTCTTTCTTTCTCTCTCTCTCTCTTTGCATGAGTCCCCTTCACCTCTCCTCTCTATCCTCTCTCGATACATGCAAATGTAAGCCCTCATGCCACATCCTGGTATTTTCTCTTGTTTTCATCATATTTTTTAAAATCCGAATTCTTACACCTAATTCGTAATTCTGTCGTAAATCCTTTGTCTATCATACCTGTCAAAGTGATCATATAATAGGCATACGAGAGTGCAAATTAGTAGATCATGAATCAGTCAAGCGAACTAATTCATTAATGAACGAACAAATTAGTGAATGAATAAATGAATATCTTTTTTAATCATCGAAATTGTTTCACACATTTAGGCCTACATGCAATCTAAAAGTGTCCATTTTCGTTTTTATATAGCGGGCTCACTATATCACTTGTTTGTTACTGGATGCGAGTTTCTAGGGCCGGAGTTATAGCCGCGGGTGAAGGGGTGGGGGGGGGGGGGGGAGGGGCTTGGAGGTTACCTCATGATGTCAATGTACCTCGCTTAAAGTCAATCATAGGCTAATAAATATTTTTAGGGGGAGGAGCTACACTTTTGCCTTTTAAGTTGGAATGTGTCTTTGACCTCTTTTCATGAACGGCGGTTGTGACTCAATATGATTAATTCTTGATAGCTCCTAAATATATTTAACCTGGTCGTCTCATGAAGGAACCAAGTTGACTGATAGAGATCGATTGATAAAGCTTTGAGAAGGCATACATCATCTATCAAGAGAAATCGTGTTGTCACAGTCATTTCATTAAAAGAGGTAGAGAAAAGTTAATCAAACTTTAAGGGAAACAATGTAAACATGTGCTTTTGAAGAGTTTGGGGGGAATATAAATTCATCCGTTTTCACACTTTCACCCGATCTGTCTTGGGATCTGAAAAACAAGAAAATATAATTATGGGCTTTTGAACAGGGCTCGATCCTTTCTTGGTTTTGGGTATAAGTTTACACTGAGAGGAAGAAAACAAGTCCCATTCAGTTGAAAGATAGAGTTCTTTTTTTAAATATATATATTTGATATCCTGGTAACACAAAAGAAAATCAGAAATTACAATTACTTATCTTCAAAATCCAAAGTTCATTGCCCAGGCCCCCATGGCTAATACTTCACAGCATTAAGAGGGAGATATACAGGCCTGTCATTGGTGTCATTGCTCTGAACCCAGATTTCATTTAAAAAGTCATCAGATGAAAATGTTATTTGATTTAATACGGATTCCCGCTAAGATTATCAACATAATGCATTGCATGCTAGGCCTATATCCCCTATAAAATAAGGAACCGAGATGGGGGAGATACTTCTAATGCATCCATCCTCCATTTCGTCGCTCTTTTTTCAAGGTCTCATTCTTTTTCGCTCTACTAGTAAATTACTTTTTTGGTGCACTTATTTACATTCATGAAGGAATGTGACATTAGATAGAAATTGTTTAGATTATTAATTTCAGTCAACGTACAAACTTTCAAATATACATGGATCTCTATGGTTAGCTTGGTAGAGCTTCTTACTCATGGAGGAAGTTAATCGAGCGCCTTTGTGAACGTGCACGCATTACCGGCGTGCGTGCGTCCGTATATCACACGCGCCTCGCATTACAACACGTGTGAATTGTACTGTGATTCCAGTGTCATTTTTTATTTCCAGTATCTAATATTACCCATCATAAACATAAATCAACAAATATGAGTGGTAAGCATTATTTCATATATTTCTTAGAGTTTGAAAATATATCTCATATTACCATATTTCAATGGAATATACTGAATTTTTACCTTTTACGTGAGGTGATGTGCTTTTGGTTTTGCCTGGCGTGTTGAATTGAGCTCGGTCCCATCCACTGAGAATTGTGTTTGTAAAATGTTTTTGTTGAAAGCGGCCTTTGTTTGATTATATTTTTTTTCTCGAAATAACTTGTTTCTATTCTTATCATCGGAATGACTTCGCAATTAATGTGTGATATAATATTATTGTTTAATGTGAAATGAAGTCGTAGATCATTTCGAATTTTGAATTGGATGAAACTAACTTTGACTTTTGAGTTTGAAATGAGTTGACAATGACTTGAATGAGTGAATGACATCTTTCATTTGCAGTGTTATGCAAATTTAAATTGTTGGTAGAGAAGCTCACACTCACAGTGATCAATTCAGCAATTTGGTTCATAAAGTCCTTACTATTACTTGTTTTTGAGCATCCCCACTCCCTTGGTCAGTGGCAGTAAGCTGTAATTTTGAAGGTTTTGCAGTTATCAAGTAAGGCGCAGCTCGGCATATTTTGGCATTTTTTTAACTTTCTTGCTTTTGTTGTCGCAAGTCAAAATTGGACTTTTGGTTGTCATTTTGCACACAGATTGAAGTGATCATGAGTGTAAAACAGCTGAAAAAAACATACATGTAGGAAGCGAGAATGAAAAGGCTCTATATCTCGACTAATCTTGGAAAATGGACAAAGTTTTTAACGCACGAGCAATTTTCAACTAATAAAATGCGATTCCATGGGCAGTTTTAGATAAACTTGACATTGGAATTTTGAAGTAAAGTTGACATAAATTGAAGTTCAAGTTGGGTATTACCGTATTAGAATTTATTTTAAAAATGCACTAGAGGTCTATATAAATAAAGTGATGAGTAATGTAAAGGACAAGTTCATACCAAAAGAAAAGTTACAAGGAAGAGACGGGAAAGACAAGAGTTTCTGAGAAATGCATGCAAATAGATTGATTAAAGCAAAGGTGGATAAAGAGAGAGAGAGAGAGATAATAAAGATAATGCAATTTTGTTATACTAGTTTATAGTTATAGTATTCTGCAATCAATGGCTCTACATTTTTTGCTACTAATTTAACTGAAGATGCGTTTGTGTTTATACCACATAGTCTACATCTTTCTCAGTAATGTGATACCAAATGAGTTGATCTATGACAAATATTATACCTAATGAAGCTATTTACTACCTAAAGTCATCAATTGAGCTTGAGCATGAATGTGATGTCTTACAAATGTATATATTGAAACATTTTTTTTAGTTGTTGTGAGTTTTATTTTTGTGAAATCACCAAATTTCTCACACTGTGTGGCATGAAATGTTGTCAAACGTACATGTACGTGGATAAAAGTTAATGTTTGACTGAATGTGCTTAGCTTTATATCAAATGTTGAACAAACATAATTGCATGCTTATGATTGGGCTTTCACTCTTGGCTTCTCAGTGGGAATTTTATCACGTTTAGTCCGAATTAAATGAAAATGGTCCAACAGAATTGCACATTGTGATTTTGGCGGATCAACACATCTTTAAATGTTTATTACCCTATTCAGGGAGAAATTGTCCTTAGTATTTTTCTTCTTAAGTCCCTCACCCATGGTATTACATGTAGCACCAAGTGAGAACTCCGCCACTCACATGTTCTGAAAGTAATTCTTTCTCTCTATTTTCATTGACTGTACAGCAGAAGTAGCAGAGGTAGCAGTAGAGCAGGCTCCAGTGGAGACCCCCGAGGCCGTGCCTGATGTAGCAGAGGTCGCTCAAACAGAGGAGAAGATGGAAGAAACAGCAGCACCAGCAACAGAAGAAACAGAAGCTAAGAAAGAAACGGTGAGTTCTCTATCATGCATGTGACAATCGACATGGCTATAGTGTCTATGTCTGCGCATCGTCCTTGTTTGTGCACATGCGTAACTGCGCCATGAAACTTAATATGCAACAGAAAATTATTATCTCTCCCATAGTAATACTTGTCGTGCCCCAAAAACAGAATTATTACAAAATATTTAGAAAGTCTACTTGCTATAATTCTATTCACAACCGTCAAAATGCTATTTTTCATATCAAAATTCTTTAATTGAGTATAAAATAAATGAGTGTGCAGACATGGAAACATTTGTTTTGCAATGTCAAGTGACACAGCCACCTTCTTTTGTAAAAATAACATTGTTCTTGTTTGAATTTCGATGAGAATTTTCTCCAACTAACTCTTCAGAATACAAAGTAGCATGAGATTAAGTATTAAGATGAGTATAAATGAAATACCTGGTACTTGTTCATATCATGTCAAATATTAAGTGCGCAGACATGGGACTCCTCATAATACTACCAAACCAGTGAGAGACTGGTACACCTTTAGCCTAGGGTATCTGTACATGTTCATCACCATTTTTGTCAATTTTTGAATATTCTGTCACATGTCCATAGATGGATTTTAATATGTTATCAGTAACATCTTACCAGATTTTTATTTTATGAATACGAAACATTTAGAGTGATCGTTAATTTGGATAGGTTCTTGAAAATAGAAGGGCATTCAAAACTTACCACATTGGGTCAAGTCAAAATTAAATTAATTGATGCCATGTTCACTGTGAATGGCCTAAATTGAGTCGTGATGTATGTCTTCCTCTTTTTATTTATGTCCAGGGTTTGTCAGGGACTGTAGCGAAGCACTACAACGATCTAAGGGAAGGATCAGTGTTCGACAGAGCCAGGAGCAGAATTTATTACCAGCGCAATTTCAATAACTGGATTAAGGTGAGACAAAGACTTTGCTTTCAGCTGAACACTCATTTTCCTTGCTAAATTCGCTCTCCTTGTTACGTTGTAATGTATAAATGTACAGTTCTTCACATAATGAATTGTAAAAGCTGTAGAAGCTTCCTAAAAAAAAGTTGAATTGTACATTGTGGGATGAAAATTTATATCCATTTTAAACTACATGTAATATGAAAAGCGAAACTCCAAACACAAATATGCACAAGATTGCGACAATGCCCCACATGTCATTCATGTTTGAAAAATGGTACATGTAGAATGTCCTAAGAAATTCCACATATCTGGTGTCATGTACTTCTGCTGTTTCAAGAATTGTTATCAATTTAAAATCTATGGTCGTTCCTGGTGTGTAATCTGTAATCACAATTGTAATGTAGACGTGTCCTGTCGCTACTCCAGATACAGCCATAGTGTGTCTAGGCTTTCTCTGATCATCATTAGATATCTTTGAGTGCTTCAAAGAATTGTACTTACATGGACCCTGGAACCAAAGCCATAATGTTACAGAACAGCGTGTAAAGTGTAAGGACAATCTAGATGACAACAAAAATGTCTTAATTTGATTTTACAGAGCATGATCATCGCAAACTCGTTGAAGGCCGTTCACAGAAAGAAGGGTTGCACAGTACTCGATCTGTGTTGTGGGAAAGGAGGAGATCTTCTCAAATGGACCAAAGGACACATCAAGAAATTAGTCTGTGCAGGTAATGTATACATGTGTGTACATGTAATTGGGTTTTTAGTTTTTACAGACTCTTGTGAATCAGCAGAAGTAACCTGAGATTGAACCACGAGAGCTGAGCACCAGATGTCTTATTTCTGTGCCATCTAATTTTATCTAAAGTTTGAGTGCTATTCAGGCAAAGAAACACTCAAGAAATAGAGAATCCTTGTTATCACCCAAGTATCAAAACATGAGTAGAGATATATACAGTCAAACCTGTCTATAGCGACCGCCCAAAGTGGTCTTTGTAGATGGGTTCCTTCAGTACATGTTTCAATGAGAAACCATCTTCAATGGAAACAAAAAAGTGTGGTCTTTGTAGACAGGTGGTCACTAAAGCAGGTTTGACTATAATACCAAGAGTAAAACAAAGGCCAATGTAGCAGCAAAAACCAATACCCCAACGAAATCAAAGGAAAGAAAAAAGAAAAGAATGAATGCCACTAATGCTTTTTATTGTCATTTTTATGTTTGATCTAAACAGCAGATCACAGTGGGGAAATAAATCACCTTGTAAATGAATGCAAGTTTCTTCATTAGGAAGTTGTGTTCATTTCGAAATGCATGTTTAAAGACATTTCATTCTATGGAAATATCATAAATTGTAAGAGGTTGAATGTGCTTAAAATAAAAGGAAGGAAGTTGATAGTAGCCATGATGTCATTGCTGTAAAATAACATTAGAGGGAGTATTTCTTAAGCCTCTGCACTAGTTTGACCAGGAGGGATTAGACCTCCTACAAGGTCACTGGCAGGTGGTTATTTCATTGAATCAGCTCTCAATTAACATAAGAAAAAGAGGATCATGGGGGACCAATGGTCACCAAGAAGGCATTGTTTGCTATATAGAGAGCCCAAGTAGCTATAAGTAGTGCAGTGGGGCTTTAAAGATTAAAATTTTGCTCTTCTTACCTTGCAGATATCGCAGCTGTGTCAGTACAACAGTGTCAGAAGAGATACAATGACATGGTAGAGCGTAACAGACGTAGCGGTAACCAAAAGACATTTGCAGCAGAGTTCATTTCAGCAGACTGTGCCGAGGTATGCTTTTCTTTTGTTCTGTTCCAAGATTTCAAATCCCAACCAAACTTGAAGCAAGCCCAATTTGTTATATGGATGAAAGAAAATTGAGCAAGTTTTCCTTTTTTTCTGTTTTGGGAGTTTATTCTATTTCTCTTACATTTTTTTTCTTTATGCATGTCTGTAGGGATGTGGCAATTGATAGCTTTTTCTCTTGCTCTATAAAGATATTTCAATTGCAATTTTAAAAAACTCTAAAAATGTGTGTAAAAGATGTGCATGATTCAAGATGATTGATCATAAAGATGACTGTATTTTAATTTAATTTAATTTAATAGTGGATTGATACAGTAGCTTTGATGTGAGATACCTTTTCTTTGTGTTTGCAGGTACTTTTAACGGAGCGTTACCAAGAGAAGGACATGCTCTTTGACCTGTGCAGTTGTCAGTTTTCCTTCCACTACTCGTTTGAGGCAGCTGCTAGGGCCAGGACCATGCTCAGGAATGCCTGTGAGAGACTGCGACCAGGAGGATACTTTGTTGGAACCATTCCCAATGGATACGAGCTTGTGTAAGGATTCATTTAATCAGCCACTGTTCAGATTGTACTTTTAGTGTAGTGTAGCTGAAAGTTATATCGCATTTATTTATTTTATTTGAATTTTGTTATTGATTTATTTAACACTTGTTGGATGGAACATAATGATAACTGTTTTTTTTATAGAGGTCCACACTGTTGATTAGAGATGATTGTTTGTGTCCATCTTTTTTGTTTGTTTTTTAATTTCAAATTCTTAAGTCTCGTCAGTACTGCAAGAGGAATGCTGATTGCTGTGGAGATGTAAAGATCCTCAAACTCTTCAAACTATTAAAATATAAACTATCAAAGCTCAGATCTTTTTATCTTCTATATTGATAAGACCTGTGTATCAGAACTTGAGTTTTAAATGATCATTGCTCCTTTAAGTAAAATCCTGTACAAAGATCTGTCAGGGGAAATATTCCTAAATCTACATGAGATAAAGTGTCTCAGTTCATTGAGCAAATGGATAGCTTCTTGAAAATTAATGTTTTTAAAAAACATTGATGATAATCCCTTTTCTACATAAGGATCAGCAATATTCACATTGCATGTAAGGATTATTGACACAAAGATTCATTAATTGTGCATGTAATCATGTGCATGTTAGTGGGTGGGAGGGGGTGAAAATGCTGAGATCTTCACTACCAAAAGAACTGTGTGTTCAGTGACATTACTCAATGCCTTCTGCTTGTATGTTTGTAAATAACTGCCATTTGTTCAGTTGTACAATTGAAATAAATCTTACTCTTTTCTTTCTACAGATCGAGGTTAAAAGAGAGCGATGGTCTGACGTTCGGCAACGAGGTCTACAAGGTCACCTTTGAGAACAAAGAAACGTTCCCCCTCTACGGATGCAAGTATGATTTCCATCTTGAAGGCGTGGTCGACTGTCCTGAGTTCATGATCTACTTCCCTCTCCTTGAAGAGTAAGTAGAATAGTAATAATGACTGCTATAACAGTCATAACTTTTATATACCGAAAAGGGTCATAGAATACATGTGCGACTTAACCAATCATGGTAATGAAGTTTGTTTACGCTATCGAGACCTAGTCTTAATAGGGTGTCTGATCGCGCACCCCTCAAGTTTGTGTGCTAAAATCCTTCCCATTGAGATTGCACGCGTAAAGGAATGGCTAAAATCACGACTCCAATTTCGACCAATCAGAAGGCTGGATTTCTAAAGTGAGGTATATAATACATTATACAATATTTCATGGTGTAGAGCAATGCAGCAGTCATACACAAAATAGTTTGAATAAACATTTATCATTAACAAATTTCAATCTCATTTTTCAATCAGTGATGTAAAATGTGATATTAAAACCAAGAAATATCTATATTCACATCATATGTATTTGTTTTAATTGCTTGTTTCTGCATCCTCATATCCCCCATTATCTATGTGTTGATCATATTGTCTAACAACAGTTGTGTATATCTGTCAATCTATATGTCTAGTCATTTACCCAAACATTCCCCATTGACATGGAGCTTGGGACCCTGAAGTTGTCAGAAAAAAATCCTGACGTATTTGTCTACTTTAATATATTCGTCATTTTCCACTGGTATTTCACAAATCCAATTTTGTCAGAATTACACTACAGACCGTGTTTGATAGTCACCTGTATATAGTTTGCTCACCATGGTGTTATGTATAATCATAACACACAAAGACATGTAAGCACATTGATGCTGTGTTTGTATAGATCATTCTAAAAGAAATACAAGATTTAGGGGCCTAATAACTCATTTACAGAGTTACAAAATCATGACCTTCATCCTTCATCATTTTTCTTACCAACATTGTTAATACCTTGTTCAAAGAGGAGTCTGTGTGGAAGACAAATTTGAAAATGGTCCATTTACTAGCCATATAACTCAAAAAATTCTGCAGCTTTTTGACTTAATCCTTATTTCTATCCATTCATGTAGGATGGCTAAGGAGTTTGACATGGAGTTGGTGTACCTGAAGAAGTTCCAGGATATATATGAAGAGAACTGTGAGAGTGTAGATAACCAGGCTCTCATCTCAAAGATGCAGGCTCTCGAGGTACGTGTTCCATCAAGCCTACGTGTTCCATCAAGTGTATCCTGTCTAACTAGGGGGGGGGGGGGTGTTTCACAAAGATCCTAAGTTGAACTTATCTCTGAGTTGGACTTAACAATTATGGAAAGCTGTTAGCATCTTTGAAAATATCTTGTAAAAGTTATTATAAGAGGCATAAAATATTGATTCAAATCATTCTTATTTTCTATTATCTAGGAGACTTCATGTTCTTGTTGTAGAATATATGAAAAGTCTAAAATACTTGAATTTTTGTTTTTGAATATATTTTATTTTAGGGCTACAAATGGCTCTCCATAATGTTCAAGTCCAAATTAGAGTTAAGTTTGACTTAGGATCTCTGTGAAACACCCCAGAAACTTGTGAAATTGGAGATTGGTCCCATTTTGCAAAAAAATAATTGCCTTGAAGTGATAGAATGAATACCCTGAATTCACATTAAGTGTGGAAGGTTCATGCCCATATAATGACCATCATTAATTTCCAGCGTAGTCTGGTTGAACAGTGGTTGATTGCTTTTACGAAAGACTACTGAGTATAGTCGTAGGATTCGAATTGGATAGGGACAAGTGGAATGACTTCATTTAATCAGCCCCAAGTATTCTCACCTGCATCTTTGATAAAAACTTTGCAATTTTCTCAAATGAACCAAATTGATTTGGGGTCTTCAAAAGTGATTTTCTATTCACATTATCGTAGATGCATTTTTTGGACAAATTTTGCATTTGTATTTTGGTTGTATTTTAGCAATTCCCACCAGAGAAGGGCACCGGAACAGCGAGTAAGAAAGAGGATGACTACAGCCATGCTGAGACTAGGCATACTGAAGTGATGGGTATGGAGAACGAAGACAAGAAACCAACATCCATCGTAAGTTACTCAATCGATTGCCCCCATGTTACATTTTTCATCCCCCCTTCTCCCCCCTCTCGTACTAGCTGTTCTGTTCAAGATAACCTTTGTGGCAGCAGAAATGAACAAATCTAATACAATCAAACCTGCTTTAGTGACCACCTGTATAGAAAGACCACATTTTTTGTTTCCCTTGAAAGTGGTTTCTTATTGAAACATGTACTTAAGGAACCTGTCTACAAAGACCACCTGCCTGTAAAGACCACTTTTCTTGTTTCCCTTGGGTGGTCTTTATATACAGGTTTCACTGCAGTAGGTCATGTTGATGAATTTTGTTTAAAGTGTGATACTTGGTTTGTGTCTTTGAAACTAAGAATGTAAATCTGTTGCTGTGAATTCAGGAAGAGACCCTAGAATAGTTACCAAGAAGATAAATGTACTTCTGGTACATGCCTAGTTCATTTTAGAAATTTGTGAGTAATAAGAGTATATAGTAATATAATAATAATAATTGTTAGCACTTAATAGAGTTCTCATGCTAAGGGCTTTACATGTAGTATATAACTTGAAATTCAAACAACAAACAAAATAAAATAAGATATGAATTCTAAGCGCTTAACATGGAATTAACAACTTTTAAGAAAAAACTTCATCAATAAACATAACATGAAATAGTTTAACGAGTACGAAGAGCAAATTATGAAACAAGGAATACATTACATAAATTTAGACCCTACAACAAAGTAGGAAGATGATTATATGCTCATTGATCTCTGACTCTCCGTATTTCATTATTTGAGAAATGTCGTCTGCAGTGTATTCCTTTTTGAGGTAAGTTTCCTTTCCATAAAGATTGATGGATATCTTTTTTCAACATGTATTGATAAATGTTTCAGTAGTCCTTTTTTGTAATAATTAGACTTTGTACATGAAAGAGATTCAAAGGCCGGCTGTACTAGTTCAGCCAGAAGGGATTAGACCACCCAGCGAGCCAGCGAGGTCACTGTAACAGTTGGCTATCTCATCAACTTAGCTCTCAATTAACATAAGAAAAAGAGGATCATAGGGGACCAACGGGCACCGATTGGGGAAGTTTTCTATATAGAGGGAGCAAGTAGCTACAAGTAGTACAGTGTGGCTTAAACTAAACCGATGATTCTCTCTGTGCAGGGTACCCTTTCCAAGTCCGAGTGGGAGGCATCTAGCCTCTACTGTGCCTTCGCCTTCAAGAAAGCAGGAGACTTCGAGGAAGAGGAAGAAGAGGAGGAGGAGGAGGCTGCCCCCGTCGCCGAGGAGAAGAAGGAGGAGGAGGAGAAGACGGAGGAGGTTGCCAACGGTAACGGTGAGGAAGCTGCTGCTGAAGTGGAAGGTGAAGGTGGTGAGGAGGCAGGTGCAGAGGGAGAGGCTGAGGCTGAGGGAGAAGAAGAGGCGCAATGAACAGGGATGGAATGCATACAGCTTCATTGACTACTGTTACAGGTGAGGCCACCAACAGTTTGAATGAAAGGGTAGTGTAACATTTTAAACCTTTGTGACATGAATTTGTAAGCATTGTTAATGATGGGTGTTTTGTGTTTTATTGCAGAAAATTTTCATGTGGTGCAAAAGTCTTCATGATAAATTAATCAGATCGTTTCATGCCCTGAAAATGGCAAACACTTGTGAAATAACTATTAGTTTGCAAAAGATTATTTGCAGGATTTCAAGACCTTGTTTTATAGTCACCTTTCTTCAGATTAGGAATTTTATCCTTTATCATTTTCCTTACCAAAGATTCTTGATACCAAATAACAATAAATCCAGTCTCATTTCAACATTATCCAAAGATTAATTGCTATCCATTTCGGGTGATAATACACTGACTTTCAAAGACATACTTGAAACCTGCAAAGAGCAGTCTGTTTGGAAGACAGAAGTGAAAGTGCGCCATCTATTGGTGATATAACTACATTTTACTGCTGCAGCTTCATGACTGTTGGAAACAATTACACAAAGTCATTTCATGTTTTGAGCTAATGGTATATGCCTTGAGCATGAGTTGATCAAAGAGCTATCATTTACATGTCATCAGCATTTGTTCTGTGCAGTAGTATGTTGGCGTAGGCTCTTTTTAACATGATTTATATGACATGAAAATAGTCAAGTACCTGAAGATCGTGTGTGTTATAAGTTGATTTATTTTGTTGCCTTAAACCACTCATAATTATTTCAGATTGGCTAAGTCATGTTTTCATGTTTTAAGAGGATATATGACTAAAATTTAGAAACATTGGTGCCCAATTTCTACACATAATCAAAGATAACTGCTATATTACAATGGAGTTTGTACCGTTTCTTTTGTTAATTTATTCTTGATTTTCAATCCATCCATATTCCTCTCTGTTCTTCCAACTATTCATCCATCATTTGTTTCTTCTGTCTTTCTTTCACACTTGCAGGATGTGCATTGGAAGAAAGGTATATCAAACAAGAAAAGGAGAATCATCTGTTGGATTTTGACCGGTTCAGCGCACATTCAGGGAAAGGGGATTAAAGAAACGGTAAAACAATACCTTTTCATGAAATACTCCACAGGGCACATTTACTTTTTTTGAGAGTCAGGAGGACTCAAGTCATAATTTCTTCATTAATAACTGCCCTTCTGACTCTCAACAGAGTGTTAGTTATATCTTTTTGTGTATTTTTTCCTTTTGTGTATGTTGTTTTAAGGACACCATTGAATTTTTTATTTTTGTTAATCATGCTTAGTAGATTTCAGCGTGTAAGCTACTCAAAGAAAACCATGCTCCCATTTCATTACATTTTAAAACGATGAAAGCAATGTGACTTGGTGCAGGGTAAGAATGTATGTGACCAGTGCACTTGTCTTTATTTGATTCTCATGTATCATGATATAATACAGATGACATTTCTTACATAATGTGTGGTAGCAGTGTAGTACAATGAAATCTCTTCTCTCCTTGATGCCTAGCTTTTAGAGAATATCCAGCTTGCATAGATACTGTCATTTTGCATATCTTTGAATTTCAAATTTTGTCCTGAAAATAATGTTTCCTTGTTTTTTTTACTATTTCACATAAACTGCTGTTTGTGTATTTGAGAATGCTTTTCTGTATTAAGAATGAATGCTGGGATTGTTGTATCTTGTATAAAACTAATATGAAACTAAATGACATTTGTGTGTAAAGCAGTAGTTTACTGTGTACTTACGGTATACTCTAATGGCGGAGGAGAGTTCGCTGTCATTCAATATAAACTGTGTAAATAGAATGAATGTGTTAAGTTAGATGGCAATGCACAATGAATTCTGATTGATGTTAAAAGCTCCAATTTTGTAATGTCTCATTCTAGCTCAGGTCTGTGAATTTTTTTTCCCCGCAAGGTAGACCGATGTTCTTTGTTAAGCAGTAGATCTGTTAGAGGTGTGTCATAATTCCAGCACCGTAGGTCCATGTTTATCGTAGGGTTTTTATATGAGATGCGCTTGCCCTTGCTTTGCCATTCATCCTTGAAATGCATACAATCACGGAGAGGAGGCCATGCATGCATTTTAGGATATGACACAAATATAGGGATATCATAGTTGACTTTTCAAGTCAGATGTCAAAATCAAATTTCTTGGTCTGACAATCAAGTCAAAGACATATAGGCCTTGAGATGGGTACTAGGTTTAGTATCACCCCCAAATGTTGGTCCTTCAATAGAGTCCATAGAACTACACACTAAACCTACCTACTTAAATGTATAAAGAAGATTATCAATGGCAGTCATGTTTATGTAGTCCCACTTGTACTTCTTCTTGTCATCCGTGAATCAAATTGGTTTGCACTTTTTGTTGTTGTTCTGTGCATATACCTGAATAGTTGTATGTACTTGTTCTATCATGATGTAGAGATTGTTTTGTAATGTTTGATTTCTTCTTGTGAGTAAATATATCATCTGCCGACAGCTCGAGGGGCTTTGAATCGTTTCTTAGCACACAATGTTGACGCCTTATCAGCAGACGTTATATTGACATGTAATGAATAACAACGTCTAGGGATATGTCACATTGTTAACCAAATTGATGAGATTGAAAGTTAAGTAAGAAAAAGTAACATCTTGATCTTGCTTTCACATTGTACATTATGTTCCGTAGTTTTTTTGGTGTAGATATATATACGGATTGATAATGGGCATGATGCGTGTTAAGACTTTAAAAATGTACCATATTTTGTTTTAATAGCATGTCTCTCTTTGCAAGGACATACTGTAGGTAGGCGCTTCTCAATCCTCTCTTGGCTATGTAGCTTGTTAATACATGTATCATATTGTTATTGGAGAGTTAGTCTTAGGCGTAGTTCCTTCAAACAATCAGAAGTACAAATTCTAGGATTTTGACTCTGCGTTTATGTGATTAACATGTAGTAGGTAAATGATGCAAACACATATATGTTATTTTCATGGTTTGTAAAGAGAAATATTACCAACACGATGATTTAAAGACTTCTTTTCAGTGCCTTTCCTCAAGATGACTACACTTGTTGAACCGATTCTCTGCTCACTCTCTCTCTAACATCCTGTAGGAGAGAGAGAATTAAAAAAAGAAATGACCAGGATAGACTCCCATGGTGCTCTGCTGCATCATCACAACATTTTCGTCTAAAATCTCACACTACAAGCCATACACAAGAGGGCATTTAAGCACTTCCCTCATGTTTTTTTCTAGAGACAATATCTGTCGAACAAATAGACAAGTCCGAGGTGTTTTGGCTCCTATATTTTTAGCAAAAAGTGATGGAATTGTGTACATAATTAACATCAAAAGTGTCAATTTGGTTGGTGAATATATCATTTTCTTTGTTATCTGGTTAACTTTATGCAATCTTATTACTGTTATCAGATAACATGCGGGGAAAGAATTCCTTGGACTTGTCTCTCCGACTTTAAATAACAATACTCTTGAAAGGGGACTGGCGGATGTATTTTTTTTTATTGAAATGCCCCTTTCTGCTTCCATTGCATCTTGTAAGGAGTAATTGAATCATATTTCGTAAGCTTGTGTGCATTTACCTTTCAAGTTGTTGGTCATGGATCGATGCATTTCACTGTTATGATTACATAAGGTAGAATAGATATGTGGTGTGTGAAACATACTGGAATTTTGTTTTGTTACTAGAAATGCATTCCTTTACCTTAACTGATGTTAATAAAATATGGATTCAGGGAGCTCACGTAGAATTGATTTAAGAACAAGCATTGTCTGTTTCCCTTAGTAGCAGTCAAATGGGAATGTTAATCGTTGCATGGCGTAGGGCTGGCTGGGAGGGCGTTTGTGAACAAATTGATACAATATTAAGGCTGTGATGTTGTTGTACAGGGGTTTATCAACCCATTTTTTGATGTGATATTATGTTAAGCACCCAAACTTGTTTGGGAATTTCTTTTGTAATGTACAGTTTTTGATCAGTGGTGTATGAAAATCAGCCCATCCCTGGAGATTCATTCTAAAGAATATTTTTCCTCCCAATTTTGTTGGTGTAAAACGCTTTGTTTTTGGTAATTATTTGAAGAAAAAAACTTTTTTGTAGTATCGCTAAGAATTCTGTATGGAATTTTAAATGTTGTAGAAGTGTAAGGATAGCTCAATTAAAAAGACTGGAATGTATTCTCAATTTGACATTTTGAATGTTTCATTTCTGTTGTGTATTTTGATACTGTTTGTGATAATTAATTATTAATCCATCCGTAGATAAAATCTTAGTATGGTGAATTATAATTTAAAAAATACAGTGAAAACTGATAATGTGACATAATTATTCTGATGTCTACATAATAAAAGAGATCAGTGGTGACATATCTGAATGGAGATCAAATTTGCCAAGGGGGTGGGGGGTCACAAAATATGTTCATTGTTTTATTTGACAAAAACCATGCTGTGAGAACGAGGATTAGGTCAAGTTAAATGGTCATACCCCCCCCCCCCAAAAAAAAAAAAGCAACAAGAAATTAACATCCTTATGGACAGTATTATTATTGGGGGGGGGGGGGTAAATGCCCCTCATGTCCACCCCTGAACATTCTTGTACTTGAAATGTAGGTGTGAGAGAGAGAAAGAGAAACAAGCAAAAAAGGGGGGGGGGGCAAAAAGACTCTGGGAAAGAGCAATCGCATTTCATGTTTGACGCGCAAGCAGTCATCCATTGCCATGACAATACCACATGTAACGAGATGATGATGATGATGTTACATCTCCGAACATAAATACCACTCGCATGCCATATAAAATGCCGCCCAAGGGATGTGTACACTACCAAACCAAGATGTATTGTTTTTTTCTTTCTCTTGCCGCCGGTGATTCTGCAGATTCTTAAGTGTTTTTATGAGATTTATCGCTTTCTTCTCATCCTTCTCTTATCATCATATCCCAATACCATTTCTTCTCTAAGTGATTGGATTTAGAAGCCGATACAACCTCAATAAAACAACTGGCGGAATGTCACGCAGTTATTGATTTCCCAATCGTCTTTTGAGAGGACAAGCTGAAAAAGATAGACGAATAGAGAGAAAAAAGAACGTGAATATTAAATAACTGTTGAACGGGGAAATGGTAAATAAAGGAACTTCTGAAATACAAGTAATGATAGGTAGCTTTTCACCAAATGACTAAGAATAGAACTATAGTGTAATAATATTACATAAGTGGGAATTCATCCGACTGTCTGTCCCATTTTCAACATTTTCTTTCTCTCTGCTTCTATACAGTATCACTCTACATTTGCATGTATATCTTTCTTCAAAATAATGTCTGTCTCTCCCTCCCCGATCCTATCCCCCCCCCCCTCTCTCTCTCTCTCTCTCTCTCTCTCTCTCTCTCTCTCTCTCTCTCTCTCTCTCTCTCTATATATATATCTTCCTCATTCCCTTTCTATCCCTCTCTCTACTTTATATTTGACTCTGATTCTATTTCTTTTTCCATAATTATGTCCATCTTTAGTACAATATCTCCCCCTCTCTCTCTCTCTCTCTCTCTCTCTCTCTCTCTCCCCCCATCTCTCCCACCCTCTCTCCCTTTTTTGGTTGTCATTCTCTTAATGTGTAGTCCTTCCCCGTGCCCCTAGGGGCTACGCCATTAGATGTATTCACATGAATTCACAACCTTCAGTGCTGGCTCTAGGGCGCCGCGTAAGGATATATTAGTATTGGTAGGCCTATAGCCAGCCAATGTTATATAGGCCGAAGTCTCAGATCTTTCCCCTCTTCATGGGCGCGTTTCGATGGAACTCTCATAAGAGTGGAGGGGGGGGGGGCACTATTGTGTTGTTGATTTTTAAAAGGTCATCAGATGATGTGAAGACTAAACCAAAAACTTCCTGTTTACATGTATTATTGAATTGTTATGTTAACACCACTTTTCAATATTAGAAGATCATTGTAGACATCTAAGCGCTTAGTACACGCTATTGTCAAAAGAACAACATTATATAGTTCTCAACCATCTAGTTAGATTTGAAGGAGAAAGGTCACCAGTTGATTGGAAAGCTGATGTGATGAAATCTCAACCTCTAATTATAAGTACAGCAGCTTGGTCGCGACCGTTAGCTCATTGTTGATGTTTCAATTCAACCTCGGTCGGATTTTGATAGAAATCTCATGATGATGATATATTGCTTCAGCAAAGTGGGTTTCTTTTTCTCTTTTAATTTGTTTACTGCATTATTAAAGCAAGGGAAGAGATGAAGAAGGCTGAAAGAAAGAATACGACATGCGTATAGCGCCGGCGGGAAGGAAAGGTTATTTACATCACTGTTCGGTTTTTCTTCTGCAAAATTAATGCCCCATAGGGGAAAGGAGGAAAGAAAAGAGGGGTTATGAAAGGAAAAGGGAAAACGAGAGAAAATGGGATGGCAATGTCTGGTACCGGTAAACACTGTAAAGCTAGGCCGTCGGCATGCCGAGGCGAATGCCAAGCTTTTTAGAATTTTGCTCCTGGCATTTGGTTTTTTTTATGCGTTCCTTCCACTGCTTTATAATACGGATAGTCAAGGCGAATTGCTTTTGTGTAGAGTCGAGACTTCGCCCTAACATGTCCGCCAGTCAACCCTGGGGGCGCTTTATACCCAAGTCGGCCCCAACATCTGCCGTCAGTTTTTGTTTGCAATTTCTCTTCTCTCTGTCGCATTAAAAGCTTCTGACTCGGCATTAGGCATGCTGTGCCGTGACACGGGCAAGGGCCAGGTTTGTCGAATCTCATTCCCAAACGTCTTGAGGTGCTCATCGTAGATGTTTTCTAATGATGATTACAGTCTTCAGCACAAGAGCGCGGGAGATAAATAATGAAGAGGGGAAACTTATAAGTGTGTGTGTGTGTGTGTAAGGGGGGGGGGGGTTGAGATCAGAGGCTAAATGGTCCGCGTTTACTCGGTTATCTGTAATTAACGAACAGTGAAAAGAGAAATACGTTGCAAATATTATAACGATCAGAACCTGAAAGTCAAATAATTGCACAGTTCGTTAAGATCAACAATAATGTATGAGGTGCTCTCTTCGACACTTCTTAGATCCAAAAGGAGCATCGATTCTGAGAATATTGAAGAGCCCCCCCCCCCCCGCACCCTGTTTTAAAAATAGCAGCAACAAGATCAGAATAGATTGCGTTCTCCCCCCCCCCCCCCCCCATCTTGTAGATAAATCAAAGCTCCTGTTTTTGAAAGCGTAGAAGTCAAAACACATCATTCCAAAATGAAAAATACATTTATTTATAAGCCAACTACATGTACTTTTTCTATAATTATAACTCTTACAAACTGGAAATGAAATTAACCCTGTGTTGCTAGCTTAGGCAACTGTTGTCGCGTTGCACAGTGGATTTGGAGGAACATTAACCGCGTACCCACCATACCTGGGTAAAGGGAGGCGAAAATCAATAAAATGCAATGTCAAAGGGCACACGCATTGAGCATGATCTTGACCTTTGTGTTGATAATAAACACACAATTAACTACATGTACCCTGTCCTACACGACGACATAACCATCACAGTGATTCTGTTCCGGACGCCATTTCAGCATCCGATTTGATAACAACACAATCTCGGATTGGCTAATGTCATACTTCCCGCCTCAAATCATGGGTCTAAATCCTGAACATGATTGAAATCCAGGCCTAGGGGCGCAATGTGTCTCAGTATTCCCTTGTGCCCATGTGGCTCAAAGTCACTCTGACTCCCTCTCTTTATATAATTATTTATTCACTCTCATATACAATCATGACATAACTGTATGTATCTGTGGAAAATGAAACATTACAGTGTTAGAAATTGAAGTGTTAAACAGTGTTCGAATATTTATTAGTGTCAGGAAACTTTGATATAACTAATGAAAAATCATCATGAGCAACATGTCTGCCAGGCATTATCTTCTTTGTCTGGTACATGTAATAACTATAATGCAAAGGTAATATTTAGTTTACACGTTAATGTTATTTGTCATATTCACCGCTCCCCCCCCCCCCCCCCCCCCATCGATTGTCGCTGTTCTCTTTGTATAATAATGACATGATGATAATGTGTAAAGAATGTTCGCGCTATGCATTTTCTAAACTTATTTGCAACATAACAGTTTCAATCCTTCCAAATAGAATACAATATAACATTAGATGGTGAAAGATGGGTTTAAGAAGCACATTTATGGGGATAGATATTACATCTCTAAAGATGCTACTATAATAGGGTTCAAATTTCGGGCATTAGCTTCGATGTATTTTTTTATAATATACAATGTAGGCCATTCATGAGCAATGGCAGACCTCACCTGCTTGTATAATTATCAATAATAATTTGTACGACACATCCTTCAGCAAAAAATTGCTCAGAGTCTGTGGCTTACAAAAAGCGCACCCTCAACTTCCATCCCTTAATTATCCCAAAACCTTTAACCCATAGTAAAAACCTGTCCGATGCTACCCAAGGAAAACAGGGAAAGGGACCGCTGTGGGCAGGTGGCCTTTATAGGCAGGTTCTACAACGCATATTTGTTTCTTGAGGGAGACGAAATACATGCCTTTACATGGTCACTATAAACAGGTGGCCTTATATCGAGCGGTGGCCACTAAGACAGGTTTGTTATATTTGCAACCCTGGTCTGATCTTTGACAAACTTAAAGACCGTCAGTACTAGTTTGGCTAGGAGGGATTAGACCACACCGCGAGGTCACTGTCAGGTGGCTATCTCATCAACTCAGCTCACAAATAACATTCGAAATAGAAGATCATGGGGCACCAACATGCACCGATTGGGGAAGTTTTCTATATAGAGGGAGCAAGTAGCTACACGTAGGACAATGGGGCTTTAAGATCGGAGCGATTGCTACCAGAACAAAATTAATCTAAATGACCCAAATGTCCAGATTCATGCCAAAGCAGATCTGCCCGTCCTCCGTCATTAGCCGGTTTCGGAAGAAAAAAAAATGACCTAAAATCGTTATAAGTCCTCAAAACTGAAAAATAAAACTCCACTGATCTACGAAAAAATAACAGATTTAACGGAGGGCCTATAGCAACCGCGTTCTTACAATTTGTCTATTTCCGACCCCTCTCCCTCTACTCCCGCCGTACCAGCTCTAAGTCGATGCCCCCTCCCCTTCCACTGCACTCCACTATCCCCGTGGTACCCCT